CAGCTCCATCCACAATCACAAACACTGACAGATGCTTCCTTAAGCACAAGGCTATGGAAACTGGTAGGGTTCCACAGCAGAAGAATGCAAGAAAAGCATCTAGGGCTAGTACAGCTCACCCTGGCAGACGGAGCAAGTCTTGCTTTAGTATTACCCTGTGGGGTTTATAAAACTTACAAAAATTAAACTTTGACCTGCACAGACTCTTCCTATACTTTCATTCCCTTTCATGCATAGAGCTGGATGTATATTTCTCATTTCCTTCTTTCAAGTGAAATAAAAAAGAGATAGGCCTTACCTGGCCAGCTTGCTGGAGATTCAGCTTGGTCTGCTTTTGATACATGCTCTCCAGTGGACCTGTAAGTAAAGGTGCAAGTTGTCAATTACACCTCCTTGACAGATAGTGGCATTTTGTTCACTTTAACAATCACTCTACAGTCTTGCAGAACAGCCATCTCTAAGGAACAGTTAAAACACATGTAAGAAAATGTCCTATGTGGATCACTGTTTCCCTGATGCACTTTCTGGGGTGTAAAGATGGTTACTAAATAAAGATGATTATGTCTTGCTACAAAGACTGCTACAAATGATCAGAAAACTGAATAGGAATTATAGGTGTAATACATCTGTTGCAGATTTGTTGCCTTTCCAAGTGGGAGTGGAAGAAGCACATGTTTTATTTTACTAGTTACCATTTCAGAAGTAACACAACATATGCCCCTAATTAAAGGAATAAATATTGACAGTAACCATTCAAAAATTAAAGTTAATGGATACAGAAAGAATGTATTTGAGGACACAGGGTGTAACTGACAGAAAGAAACTCCAAACCCAGGTACATTTAAAGTAGCTACATCAGCTATCTGAAAGCTGTTGAAACACAAGGAGTGAGTGATGTGAATTTGCAACAATGGAAAAATTTGCCTCTAACAAAATAAAATGCACACAAGTCTTAATCTGATCATTCATTTATCCGGTGGTAAGTACCTGAAGAGAAACCAAAGAATCCCTATAATTAGTAACACTTAAAATCAACACTGTTTGAAACCTTGCTTCGGGTCAGAGTAGCTCCAGCAGAGATCCAGATGACTGTGACAGTGATTATAACTGACCCCAGAAAACTTCCGCAGATAATTCCTAGTGAAGTGAATAAGCATATTTAATCGTTTTACATATCGAGTGCTGGGATATGAAAACATTGAAGCAAGAGGGTATACTTTAAATGATGCTATAAAATTCAGAGTTTATAAAAGTTACGAATATTGGGAGAAAAAATTCTTACTGATAAACATATTCTTTTTTTCGAGGAAGAGAAACCTGTACTAGCACATAGTGTGTTCACAGTTGAACATTATGAGTGCACAGCTGAGGAGCAATAGCAAAGAAATGAAAAGAAACCAATTTTTCATCCCTAGCACACCTAAAGAGCATTTACTTGATTGCATTAACTGAATTTGCCAGTATGCTCACAAGCTGCTGGTGAAATATAAAGTGGGTTCCTTCTGCTCCCCAACTGTGAGGATCAGAGGTCACTAGAGCCTTGCCCCTGCTATAAGCCCTAAACATTCTCTGGGGACAGGTGAAGGTGGCAAAGTAAGAGAAGCTTTTAAGTAATTCCAGTGGATCAACAGCCCTGTATGTTCTTCATGGCAAACTGGAAATTTCCCATGCTATGAACCTGCACAGAGCAAGTGTCCCAATTGCAGAGATAAGAAACTGATGTGAACAAAGTACTTTGTTCTCTGCGCAATTTTCTGAGTTTCAAAATCACTATTTAAAGTTTCTCAAAGGCAAAAAGTTTTCAAATTATGCCAATAGAGATTGCTGATTTTCTCTTAAGGCTGTGCTATTACTGGATGGCTTTTACCAGTCAGCTCTGTTGTAATTGCATTCATGATTTTTGTACAAAAGGACATGACCCTTCTCACTGAAGTGGATTAGGACACTCATGTATGGCAGAGTCTACATCCATAGCTACGTAAGTAATACAGGCATCTCCACAGTGACTCAAATATCTAAATTGGATTTAGACATCTTATTAAAGCACCAGCCCAAAGGCTACCTCTGTGTCTGCTTGCTTGACAGAAAGATACTACCATGGCCAATATTGCTTTGCCAGACAATCCAGACCATTAGCCACTGACAGCGAAAAGTAACCCAGTGTTGGTGCTTGGTGTTCCGCCACCTTTCAAAAACAAATTCTGAACTTTTAAGGATGTGTTTAGTAGCATTTTATCATATTTTCTATGGTGGCTGATGCATAAAGACAGTAGAAACTGATGCTGGTCTACACTCATTAGGTCCAAACCTTGAATAAAATATTAATTTTACACTAAACAGTGACTTTTCTAAAATGTTCTTAAGTGACTGTGGTATCTCAGGTATCCCATGTCATCATGCATTTCTGATTAAACAAAACTACAAGATGGCATGCTTAGAGCAGTCTGTACTATGCGACAGTGTATCTGCTAATGCTGCAAACTGGCTAGATCGATTCGGGATCAGTCAGCATTGTTCCTGACACGTTAGGAAGGCCTGAAGCACCAAAATGTGTGAATGGGGCTGTACAACTTCCTGGCAAAATACAGCTCATGTCTGAGTAGTGAGTAGGCTGTGGGTGCACAAGGAGCTGGGAGGTGGCATGGCCAGGACAACTGATTCCAACTGACCCAAGGGATATCCCATACCATATGGCATCTTGCTCAGCATATAAAACTGGGGAAGAAGGAGGAAGGGGGGATGTTCAGAGTGATGGCATTTGTTTTCCCAAGTAACTGTTACTTGTGATGGTGGCAGGCTGTCCCGGAGCTGGCTGAACATCTGCCTGACCATGGGAAGTGGTGACTGAATTCCTTGGTTTGCGTTGCTTGCATGCATGAATTTTGCTTTCCCTGTTCAACTGCCTTTACCTCAACCCATTGAGGTTTTTTACTCTCCTGATTCTCTCCCCAGTCCTGCTGGGAACAGTGAGCCAGTGGCTGTGTGGGGTTTAGTTGCCAACTGGGGTTAAAACACAATAAAACCCAGCAACAATACTGCAAAAACAGGTCTTTATGTAAGTCGTGGTAACTTCTGACCTTGATCTTCTGTCAAGAGCCTGTTACCTCAAAACTCCTTTTGCCAGAAACCTCTTAAGACTCTTGAAGAACCTTAGGCAAGCTAGGATCTGTTTTACCACGTCAGAGGAGTTACGATACCTTTTGACCTCTGTCATCTGTGTGGACTTCAGGAGAAAGGGAGATGAATTTAGGGCAATTTCCTAATGCATTTACACAGTTCCTGCACCACCACGGGGTGGGTTACTGTTGTGGTTTAAACCCAACCATGCAACTCTTTCTCTCACTCCCCCCCTTCCTCCCCCAACTCCCGGAGAGATGGGGAGGAGAATCAAAAGAATGTAGTTCCCATGGGTTGAGATAAGAACAGTTTAATAACTAAGGTATAACACAAATCACTGCTGCTACCACCAATAATAATAATGATAAAGGAAATAACAAGGGAATACAACCGCTCACCACCCGCTGACCGATACCTCCCCCCACCCAGCAGTGAACTCGTCCTTTCAGATAACTCTCAGTTACATGCTGGGCATGACGTGCTGTGGTATGGAATACCCCTTTGGTCAGTTTGGGTCAGGTGTCCTGTCTCTGCTTTCTCCCGGCTTCCCCTCCTCCCTGGCAGAGCATGAGACTCACAAAGTCCTTGGTTGGAGTAAACATCTGAGCAGTAACTAAAAACATTGGTGTTATCAGCACTGTTCCCAGGCCAAAAGTCAACCACAGCACTGCACCAGCTACTAAGGAGAAAAATTGACTGCTACTGCTGAACCCAGGGCAGTTACTAAATATACTGCATGTACTGGCAGTGAGATCACTCCAGCCGCTGGAGACACACAGCCGTGTTGAGCGCTGGACGCCCGTCACCCCGCCTGCACTGAGCCGGGCAGGAAGGCCTGGCAGGGCAGCCGGTGCTCAGCCAGCACTGCGGCGGCTCTGGGACGGCAGTGGCGGACCTGGCGCCCTTGCCACATAGCTGCTCGGAAAGTCCAGAACGGGCTGAGGCGGCAGAGGCTGGGGCTGGGGCATGACACACTGGCACCCTCAGGCCCTCCTTGGGGGCTGCCCAGCGCGGGGCCCCTTCCCGCCCGGCTGCTGCTCCCTTACGGCAGAGCTGAGGCGCCCGACGGCGAAGGCGGGAAGTGGCGCGCCCCTCAGGGGATCCCTCCGCCTTCCCTGTACCCCTTGGCTCCGTTCCCCAAGACCCGCCAGGTTTCCCCGTTGTGGAGCAGGAGGTCCGTCCCCCGCTGCTATCACGCAGAACGGAGGGAAGAGCTGGCTGCGGTGCGGTGGGCTGGGCCGGGCCGGGCCGGGCCGGGCCGAGCCGAGCCAAGCCAAGCCGCTTCTCCGCCCGTCAGCTGCTGCTGGCGGGGCCCTGCTCGCCGCCCGCCCATTGGCCAGCGCGCGGCTCCGCCCGGCCCCCAATGTAAGTCTGCGCGGGGGCGGAAGGAGCTGTCGCACCCAGGGGTGGTGTTGGAAGGTGAGTGTGCGGCGGGTGGGCCGCGACCAGCAGAGGCAGGGGGCGCGCGGTGGGGCCGATCGCGTGAGGGGGGAGGCTGGGCCGGGCGTTGTGCGGAGCCCGCCATGCGAGGAGCGGAGCGGACGGTGTGGGCTGCGCCTTGGAGTGGCCCCGAGGTGGGGTCCCGAGGGTGGGGCCTGGAGCCTCGGGAGCAGCGGAGGAATCGCCCGTGTCAGCCCCACTTTGGGCCGCAGCCGCCCTTTCCCGGGCGCCGCCGCAGCGGGCTCCGCTTTTTGTGTCTGCGGCGGCCCAAGGGAGGGGTCTGTTCCCCGCCGGCGGCGGGCTCGGCTCCGGCTCCGCCTCGCTCCCGAGCCGCGCTGGGCTCCCGCAGGCCTCGCTTGGGCCCGGGTTGTTGCCATGCCGCATCCTCCTGAGCGACCCCCTCGGCGTTCGGGCCCCTTTTCCCACCCCGAGCTGCCGCGCCGCAGTCACGGGGCGATGACTCCCGGCTCGTCAGCGGCCGTCCGGGGCTGTGCTCACCGCCGGTCGGGCTCCTCTCGGCCCGAGGCTCGTCCCCGCCGTAAAGCTTAGTGCGAGAAGTTGGGTACGTGCTGCGGAACAAGTCTGAACTGGCCGTTGTGTTGACAGCCCTGGGAGCTCACGGTAGCGTGAGTTGTGCGAAGCGCGTCTAGTTCCTTCCTCTGAGCATCTGCAGTGTTCCGTGGTGTCTCGTGCTCTTCCTTTTCCTGACGTGAATGCAGGTGCAGGCAGTAGATGTTGCTTTTGAATGCACCTAAAGAACTCGGGGCACCTTGTAAGACTGTTGCCTTAATTAGCAGGCATGTGAAGGAGTCTTGTTTCCCAGGCTGCCCGTACCAGAAGCTAATGGTTGGATGTCATTATGTAACTCTGGAAAGCCAGGAGCAAACGGGACTTGAGATGTGGAGCTTCTAGAGACCAATGTCATCCCTCTCTACAGGGGAGGAGCGAGGAGGAGACTTGCCAGACAAGATCCAAAACCAGTGTGACCTTCACATTTCTAATAAGGTGATTCTGAAACTCCAAGTAGAGGATTCCTAGCCTGAGCTCTTGAGCTACTCAGTACAGGTATGTGATAGACTCTTAAGGTACTTGCAGTCTGAAGATTTGAGCCAAGTATAAAAACTGCTTGTATATTAGAAACATATCAGTGCTATCTTGCTGCTAAGACAATGCCATTAAAAAAAAAACCCAAACCACACATTTGAGAACGACTTGAGTGTGTAAATAGAAAATGGCTTTCATATCTGCAAACTTAATGTTGCTATCTCAGCAATTTTCCTAATACATCAAGAAATAAGCTGTGCCACAGCATGTAAACATCATGTTAATTCTGATAACTAAATGTCAGAAGTGACCCTGTTATCTTGTCAGGCTATACCTCTTGTTAAGAGCTCCATGTGGATGTGACACTGATGGGTACAAATCTAGAGTCTTTGCCAACCATGCAACTGCTTCTGAACCAAACATAGTCTTAACACTAGAAACCTGTTCTGCATAAATTGGCTGGCTTGCCTGATGGGCAGGTACAGCAACCTATTTCACTTGCTATGCTTGCTCTTGAAATTGTTACTGCATCTGGGAAAATTCTCATACTGCTGCTGTCCTCTCTCTTCATCTTGCTGTCTTCTGTAAAATATTAACTTCCGCGTGGCTTAGATTGATGTGAAGTTTTAGAAGTCATTCTTGATTAAGTGTAAGGTATTCCTACATCTTCTGTGGAAACTAACTGCTGTTCCTGTCAATACTGTTAGGTATCTAGTTGCTGAAAGACTGTTCATAACTAATTAGGCACAAGAGAGCCTTTTTTAGCCGCCTTCCCTGCTCTTTTTATTTCTGGAAACAGGTATAATAAGGGTTGGGAAAAAGTTTGCACTGAAAGCTTTTACTAAACATCTGTGTGCTTTTAAGATAGCCTCAGTCAAACCCCAGTTTGGGGAGGTTCACTTGGTTTTATCAGAAAGAGGTGGTATTAACTGGAGTTAATTAAAAATAACAGTGATCTCACTTGTTTTTAAGTGGTGTAGCCCAAGCACCTCAGTATTGCAAAGGCCCGAGTGTCTATGGTTGGGTGGTGGGGTGATCTATATTAGTATTTGCTCTTGAAGCCTCTTCTTATAGCTCTGGCTCCTACATTAGCAGTGTTTCTTTTCAGAAACATGCCTGCAGGCATTAACAATGGTAAGCTTAGCAGCAAATGCCTATAATCATGAAAAACTTGGTTTAGACGCTAATGCCAGCCTTGCACTGAATTTGTCCCCTAGCAGTCATCTGCAATGTAAATTGCCTTTCTGTTTGTCCTTTACTTACAGCTTTTCAATTGGATAATGAAACTTAACAAATGAAGTTTGAGTAGAAGTTAGTGTTGGGTAAAAAAGGAAAAGAAGCAGTTATTTATGGAAAAATTTATAGCTGTTTTCACAGCTTGATTGCTGTAAGGACTGTGATGGCTATTTGCAGTTCCCACAAGGGAATCTGACTAATCTCGCTAATGAGTAAATATGCTTAGATGCTTGCCTTGATAGTAAGTGTGGTGGGAAGGGCTATAGCACTAGGAACACCACTAAGTATACATGGATAGTGTTAGCAATGTTTGAAGATAGGTATTCACAGCTTTTAATGTCTTACAGTAAAAGTGATAAATGAAGGCAATGCTGCTCCTGGTATGCTCAGGGGCTTTTTTAGTTCGGGTATGCTTTCAGGGGAAAGTGAGTCTGAAAACTAGCTATAATCCCCTTTATATCAATTTAAGGGGATTTGCAGAGTGCAGTATTTATCCCATCAGGTGGGCTCTGAAGACACCTTACTCCTGGTTTCAATCACTTGCTGATGGAAAATGTAGCGAGTTCTGCATCTAGAAAACAACACAGAAACCAAAGGCCTCTCTGATAGTTCTTACTAGTAAAGTTGCAACATGCAAATATACTGTGCTAAGGATAGAATTAAGGCTGCAGGAGAGCTTTAGCTCTAGGTGTACCATGACCTAAAGCTAGAGAAATTGCTCATGGCCTAGCAATACCACCACCTTTCAGTGTCAGAACACTGCAGGTGTTTGAAACAAAACTACCCAAAGCTAACTAGCTAACAGTGCTACCATCCCAGTTACTATAATGCATTATAGACTACTTGTTTGTGCAATTGTAAATCTGTACATACGCTCAATACCTGACTTCATATAGTCAGTGAATGAATATAGAGTGCTAGCTCCAGGCTCCTTGAGTGGGAAGAAGGGGATATGCCTGCAAGAAGGAATGACTTGTACACACTATCTCATTGAGAAGTGGAGTTGAAGTGCTTTGCAAAAGTGACCTTCAATTTTATCTAGTTGTCCTCTTCCTGGAAGGTAAACATCCATTGAATAACCTTTTCAAAGATATGTAGACTTTTTTTCCTCCTACATCTCTTAGCATGGACTATGGTACAAAGATGTAAGGACCTTTCCATATGGAAGTTAGAAAGGGCTTCTTGATGCAGCCTGGTTATCTTCTCACTTGCTTCTGTGCCTACAGGAAGGGAATTTACTGGGCACTACATCCACAGGAAGTTTCTTTTTTTCTGTCCTAGAGGTCAAACTAAAGCAGATCCTTTGAATTATTAAACAAAAAAGCATTCAGATTATTTTAATGTACAAACATATAGATTTGGCCAAGACAGATCTGTAAGAGGAATCTAAGTTGCTGTGTTGCACTCAAACTTGGACTGGAAACTTTAGTAAGAGTAAATAAAATCTCATGCATCCTGGAGGTCCTAGTTCTCAATCTCAAACACTTCCTACCTTAACATATCAGTAGGAGAGCTTAACCCAGCTAGAATTAACTTCCTGGTATAAAGAGAGTGAGAATTCATAGCTAACATCCTGCCTCAAGGACAGGTCTTGGAACTTTTGTTCTGTTTATTTCTACCACTGTCAACATATCGGTTGCCTTAAAGAGCTCTTCTAGTTGATGATACAAATACAAATGACTCATTAGACCGGAAGCATGAGTCTGGTAATATCCTTCAATTGTGTATGAAGTTAGGAGCAAGAGTTCTACAAGGAAAGATGATCTGTCAATTGTTAAATCTGTCCTTTTGTAAAGGATTCATGTGAAACTATTCTTGAAGGAGCTGCCATCACTGAATTGAGTTGATAGAGCAGAGGATGAAGAAACAAAGCTATCATACCCAGAGCAATAAGCAGGTTCTTCCTGGCCAGCTCTGCATCTTGAAACTCTCTACTTAAGCTCCTGACTGGCATCTGCTATGGAACTTCCTATATGCTAGAAGCATTGGCTGTGTGGGAGTTGCTGATGACTGAAGTCACCTGCTCATTGAGTGCATGTTGCACTGCAAGGTTCTTCCCTGTGCCTGCTAAGAAATAAGACTGATGGAGACATGGGTCTGGTCTTCATACAGTTTAACATCAGGATTTCAGAAAGGTGGAAGGAGGGCTTAAGCTGCCTCACAACTTCAAGCAAGCAGTAGCAGACTTACTAAGCAGTAATTATGGTGTTAAGCACAAGTGTCCAAGAAGAGTAAATGGAAACACTTCTTTATACAAGGACAGCAGTAAGTGCCTGCATCTCGTAACTCCCCTGCACTGCTCCTATGCATGCTTTGTTCAGAAAAAGCACTTTCCCACCCAGTGGACTTCCTGGTCCAGCTGTGCTCCTTAGGATTCAAAAAGAAATGAGAGTGGCAAGAGCCCAGTGTATAATATAAGAAGAGAAAGCCTTGTCTCAAGACCAAAATCTGCACCTTAAAAAAGCCCCATTTCTCCCTCAAATAGTAACTTACAGACCTGCTTGTATTTTCCAGGTCAAACTGAGACCACTGTAATCTGTGGCTATTAGAAAGGGGAGGGAGAAATGTATTTTCCTGCAGTCCAGACAGATGTAGGTCCTTGGTTACCCACACCTAGCAAAAAAGTTCTTGCTTTCAAACTTGTTTCTCAAGACTGCTTGCAAAAGCCTGTGTTGATGTAGCTATTATGCTGAGGTCTCAACTCTGCTTGCCAAAAGATCTTGCTGATACAGAAGACAGTGGTATGCAAAGTTTCATATTTTATATAGTTGATGCTGTCTACTCACTTGAAGTCTGGCAGTGGGGTAGCTTCTGCAATGCTAGTTTCCAGTATTAAAAACTATTTGCTAGGTTACAGTAACTGTTTAATGTAAGGTTAAGTGCTGCAACAAACTGCTGTAGAGAAATAGTGCTAGTAGGTTGTCACTGCTGCTGGCAATTAGGCAAGCTGCAAAAGAGGGCTTAATGTGGATGTGGAGTGCCTGTAGCAGAAGCAAGTTAAACCATCTTTTATACTGATGGTATTTATGCTAGATCAAACAATACCGCAGTTCAGACATGTCCTGAGGAAAATGAATTGCATGAAAATCATTCTTAATCACCCTCAGCTGATCACCCTGTGTTGAATAAGCGTTGCAGATCCAAGAAGATAATGGCAAATCATGTAACTTTCTGGCTACAGTAGGCACATAGCTGTGAGGGTGTGTGGGGTGGTTAGTTTTGTTTATCTTACATGGGTAAAATTTGGTCTGTAGGACTTGGTTGCCTGTATCAGGTATGCTACAGGTTATTGGTTGCTCTAGCTGACATGACTAGAAACGGAGTCAGTGTGTGCAAGTTATGTGCCACTAGACCCTAATGATACTCATGCTCAGCTTTTCTTTAGTGGATGTGTCCTTGAAATGCCTATGTGCATTGGTCTGTCACTCCACAAGATGTAAGGGTATAAACTTAGTTTCTAGCTTGAGTTTTGTTGGTAAAGATACTGCACTGCAATTGCCTTTGACTCTTTCATGTCTGGTGAGGTTTTTAGTGCAATGGGTAACACTTGCAATAACCTAACAGTTCTAACTAGTCAGTTAGACTGACTTCTTTTTGGGCTTTGTATGAAGATGCTGGTGTTGTAGCTGAGAGACTAGAACAAACGATGGTGAGGAAGAGCCTTTCCTGGAAAGGTATGTGACCCTTGACAGACTAGCATTTTCAGCAGATAGAAGACACTCTGGTTATTCTATTGCCAGTCAGTGACTATGCATCAAGTGAAGCGCAGACACTGTACAGCACTTGGAGGTGACCTTAGAACTATTAGGGACTACATCTGCAGTACCTGAAATTGTACTGTAGAGCCCTACTGATTCCTGAAGGAGTACAGAGGTAAGATATATTCCTGGTTAGGACTGGCTCTGGTCTGAAGTCTTCCATGAGGAAAGAGAAGGTAATGAATGACTTTTTTCTTATGTCCCAGTTGAAGTAGAAGAATGTAAAGCTACTGACTCTTTAAACAGTAGCTCTGAGATTTAAGGCAAGGTTCATGTGTCTCCTTAGTGTTGTGAATTTGGAAGTGGCAGAAGACATTCCCTATGCTTTTTTTTTTTTCTGCCAAAACTGCAGCAGACTAAAGAAGCTATGGAGTTCCTCCTTGTTTTCCTGCCTGCTGCCTCTCTTCCAGTTTCTGCTGCAGTCTTGATACTGTCCCTTGCTCTTGTGGTCTGAAAGCCCACAAGTTGCTCCAACTTAGAGCAACAGAAGCTTAAAATAATGATCTTCCCTTTGTGTTTTTGTATTCCCCAATAAATCTAGCTCTACCAGCTTCTTAACAAAAAATGCATATAAAGCAACATCTGTTTTTATCAGCTCAATGAACAACCAGTTAATTACCATGTAGTCAACCCTTCTAAACAGAGCAGTATTACAGACAGACTTACTGTAGCTACCTTTGCAATTAGCTTACCAAACCTGGAACTGTTAGTATATGGATGCTTGTAAATTAAATTTTTAAAAGGCTCAGAATTCAGACTCTCAAATGTACTGTTTCTGTAGGATTCCTTTAGGAAAACTAAAGGTAGTTGAATTGTGATCTTCTCATGGATTTGAGAGCTCACCCATGATTGAGTATTTGTATTAAATAGTCTTCAATGTCACTATACTAAACTGTGTAACTTCCATGCAGTCTGTTTTGTGTGTCTTGTGTCATCTTCTGCCTCCCACTAAAAATTGTTACCTCTTAGCAGGCTTGACAAGCACATCAAAGGCTGAAATAAGTTTATTTTTTATTTGCTTTAGTTTGATGTAGAAACCTCCATCTTCAAAGGAAGTTTGAAAAAAATAGCTTAAAATGACTAAGAACTGTAGGAGAGTGAGAAGCTCAAAGCACCAACAGCAAGAGGGTCATGTGCCATTGTGAAGGATACCAACCATGAATATAATGTTGCTGAATATGGTAAAAATGCACAGCTTCATGAAGTGCCTATTTTTTCCACTGCAGGAGTTTGAAGATGCAGCAGGCCTGGTAGTGGGGACAGAAGGAATCTCCTTAAAAAAGTTGTGCAGTCCGAAATATTCGCCATGTCTATTACGGATCATAGCCCCACCACTGGAGTGGTGACTGTTATTGTTATTTTGATTGCTATTGCAGCTCTTGGTGCCTTGATACTGGGCTGCTGGTGTTACCTGCGTCTGCAGAGGATCAGCCAGTCTGAAGATGAGGAAAGCATTGTGGGAGAAGGAGAAACCAAAGAGCCCTTCCTTCTGGTGCAGTACTCTGCTAAAGGACCTTGCGTAGAGAGGAAAACTAAGCTAACTCCAAATGGCACAGAAGTACATAGCTAACTTGGAGCAACGTGTATGAACTATGCTTATGATGTGTGTAACTGGCAGAAGAATCTCTCCTGTGAAGAACCTGGTCACATGCATGCTACTCATCACAAAATACCCTGATGAGGATTACATCAGCTTTGTTAGCAACTGCATGCACTGAGAAGTTGCACTTTGCATCAACTGTGTATCCCGATTCCTCTGTGACAGGAGCTGACCCACCTGGCATAATGTCCATTGCTGGCAATGGACACAGGGATATATTGGTGTAAAGAGACTACTAATGTTTTGTTACTTTGTTACTTGAATGTTTAGCTGAGCCTATTTTGACGGAGCTACTACTGTAATGTGAACTACTTTACAACTGTGAACTGTAAGTAAGCTGCCAGAAGCTTTTTGCTTTGTGTTCCACAGCATATGGAAATACATGATGCAACTGTACATAACACGGGGACTGCTGAACCACAACTGTAGCTGGGATTCCAGACCTTCAAAACCAAATCTGCAGTTAAAGCTTGCTTCTGCTATTAATTTGAGTGCACAGCTATAAAGTCAGAACTCCTCTTAACAGTTTAGTGAACTGATGCAGAGTACCTTTTTTGAGAATAGGTATAATCCTTCAGTAACATGTTGAGGGGGGAAACACAGGAGCTATGAGAATGACTTTGTTTAGTTGCAGCTAGGTAGGTTAAGCTTTTGGCTGCTAGAACTGAGTCTTCTAACCATCTAGCTACTGCAAGGAAACTGCCATTTTGATGGACACCAGCCTAGGAACTGATGATGGATACTGAACCCTTGGGGCCGGTCCAGAAGGTTTCCAGGAGTTTGAAATGGCAGTAGAGCAGGCTTTTCTCTTCTGTAGGTCTGCATGCTGAAACTGCAGAAGTGGTTACTTAAGTGCAACTAGTATGAAATTTTCCTAGAACTCCTGTTTGTGTACTTCGCAGTTACAGTATATGTTAACAGCCTGTTGTAAAAAGGCATTTTAGTCTACAAACAGTTAACTATATAATCCAGTTAACATATCTTGTAGATATCTTGTAGTAGTACATTTAAATCAAGAGAGTTAAGTTTCAGGCTTTCCTATAAAAACAAATGCTGGTATGGGCAAGGGAGATCGGCTGTTCAGTTTGTAGAGTTCTTAGTTGGCAATGGCAAAGTCTTTACAAACAAGAACACCCCTTCCAGATCCTGCTTTGTGCTATAGTTAAGCTATAGGAACTCTAACAAGATGTCTTAAAGAGATTGTCCTGGACCTCAAAGTGTTAGCAGGAGGAGACGGGAAAGGGGAGGAGAAAGAACAACACTGAGCCACCACTGGCAGCTTAAGTATTCTAAAACTCTTAGGGTAGGCACACTTGCTTTGAGGCCACTGACCTGTTTTCTGTGACTTTATACATAGCTTCCTTTGCCTATTGAAACTTTTAAACACTTAATTGCCTAGTAAAGAAAAATCCTGTAACTCTGTTCCCTGAGATGTTACAAATAATGAAGTTCAAGTTCTTCAGCTATATAGACATTGTTAGACTGGCTTCTTGTACCTGTACCTATGGAGTAACACAAGCCTGCAAGCTTGCTTGAGAACTCTGTATTGCAAGACAGTAGCACCCTAGCCAAAAAGTCTTGTCCCTTTCTTCTGCAGTAAGATGTTGACTTAAAAAGGCAAATGTAGCAGTAAAAATTAACTGAAGGGTATAATTTGAAGCAAAGTTAATGCTGTCAAGTAAAAGAAAGCTCCTGCTGTTGCCTTCTGAGTATGATATGGGGTACAGCTTTTTACCTTGCCACATGCTCTTCTGGAAGATACTAGTCTCATGAGACTTGCATGTATAGCCAGACTGAAATGCTTAAACTGTCATATTCTAGACCTCTTACTGAATTAATCCTTTTCTTCTTGATTTGTAAGACTCCTTAGTTTTCAGTAGAGAACAGTTTACACGTGGCTGTTGCAGGTTTCAAGACAGTCAAATAACTGGTATACAAAAGTGATACAAAGTGCTGAAGTTCTAGAACAGTTGTAGCAATTACTTTTGTCCATTCAAGTTCACTGATAACATGGATGAAGTATCTCAATTTTAATTCAGTAAAGGAAATGCAGTGTAAAGGGCAAACTTCAGAAATCATGGAAAAGTAAAAATCAAAGGACTAATCTCTCTTCTAGCAACTGTAAGAGAAAGCCAGTGAAAAATTAACTGGTTCCGAGTCAGAAGTGCTTCACACTGCTGCCCTAAAAATCACAATCTTCAATTTAAATGGCAAAATTTGTAAGTTAGTGCAATAGTAAAGTGCAGAAAGTGTTTTCCATTCTCCTCTTCTCTTTAGATGTGGGTATCTATTAAGTTGTTCAAGTATACAAAAATATTCCATTTGATTTCTTTTTCTAGATCATGTGGGGGAAGAAGTCTTTATTTACAATGAATTTCAATAAAATTTGCATAAATACCTACCCAATACTGCATCATTTGACTTTGTGTAAGTAATCATTCTGTCCTGTTTCCACTACTGTGTTCTGTTTCTGTGGTATCAATATTATCAATCCTTTTTTCCTCTAATGTGGCAGTAGCTATTGAAACTTCAGAATTACCTTCAGAAAGTGTCTGCTCTGACTGAAGGGGTTCTTTAATTTTGTCTTGGCTCTGTAGCTTTCCTTCCCTTGATGCTACCAGGATTCTCAGTAAAGTATTCTCTTTAAGGAGGTTTTCTGATGCATCAGCTAATTCTTGAAGCTTTTCAGCCATTGCTAGTAATTCCTGATTCTTCTGGTTATATGTGGCCTGCAACTGCTCACTGTGGAGCTGCAGAGTCTTGTGCTGTTTTTCCAGTGTGTATTTTTGCTGCTGTAGTCTATGTTCCTCTCTCCTAGCTTCAGACAGCTGTGCTTCAAGCTGGTCATGGGCCTGATGAAGGGCAGTGATTTCTGATCTTAACTTCTCAATTTCTTTCTGTAAGTGGGAGATATGTCCTTGCTGTAGAACTGTTTCTTTATGTAGGCATTCTTTGGTACAGGGCTCTGACGAAGAAGAACTTGAGTGATGTAAAATAAATTTAAGAAGATTAGGAAGGTTAACTGAAAAGTCTTCAGGGAACTTCACACTTTGTTCCTTCCTAGAAAGACACAACATGAAAACATTCAGATAGGCAAGCAATGATAAGATTATCTAAGCATCTTCTGTTTTTTTCCATCAAGAATGGCCAATCTAGAAGCTATGAGAAACCTGAACTCATGTAATAAAGATAAAGCACACTGTACTTTCTTTCCATTAACCCTTTTACCTGTACTCCAGCCTGGGTGCTGTAAGCTTCTCTGCACTGCATCAGTATTCACATGTATAAAGCTATCTGGGAAATTATTATTTTGAGCCTATTATATGTCCTATATATGCTATCCTGGAAGAAGTAGTTTACTGTGTTCCAAGAGCAGAAGGATATTGCAAGGAGCAGAAAAATACAGTTTGCTTTTAAAGAGTAAGCAGTCACTTTAGTAAGCAGCAAGGTCCTCTTGCTGTCAAAAACCCAAATCTTTTTACTTGTTCCTCCTGTCTTTATGCCTCTGATGTGATGAAGGAAACATGCCATATAAGTGTGGGTTGGGTTTTGTTGTTTTTTTTTTCCTTTCTGAAGCTCATTATATGGCTGTGAATATGAAGAGGCAGGCCTATTGTTTCTACAACAGCACAAACTGTTACTCTTAACCTGACAAGCTGCTTCAAGACCAGCAAGTACCAAATTTCTTCCTTAAGACTACTAACCACCAAAAGACACCCACAACCTCCAGCCGTGTCAAATGTTGAAGTTACTACCCTTTTTTTGGACCATGTGTCTACTTCTATCACAAAACCTAGGAGGCTAAACCGTCCTCTGAGGATTAGATGGGAGGTTAACTCCTAACCTTCTTTTTCTGTAACAGTTACATCTTCAACTTTTCACTCAGCATGTTCCAGTTTAGCCTAAATGCTGCCTGCTGGCTCTTGGAGTACAGAGCACCTTATTTTACCTGGGAAGCTAGCTAACAGTCTATCATTTTGTATGGTCTTTAGTCTTCACAAAAGTTTATTCTCTTTCATTAGGAAGCCATCAAAAAAAAGAAAAGCTTGGTTTACTTTCCTTTGATGGCCAGATTCATACCCAGATGAACTGTATATAGCATGCATCCAGACATGGGTAAATTACACAAATGGAGAAAGGATAAACATAAACAAAAACTACTGCAAAGCAAGAAAGCCAGATTCAAGTATAATGCCTAAAGCCTCAAAGCCTACCTACCCCTGCTGCTCATGTACAACACACACCATGGACAGCACTTACGGAATCAGAATACTTAGGGGTGGAAAGGACCTTAAGATCATACAGTTCCACCCCCCCGCCATGGGCAGGGACACCTCACACTAAACCATGTCACCCAAGGCTTCATCCAGCCTGGCCTTGAACACTGCCAGGGATGGAGCATTCACAACCTCCCTGGGCAACCCATTCCAATGCCTCACCACCTTAAAGAATTTCCTCCTTATATCCAATCTAAACTTCCCCTGTTTTAAGTTTCAACCCGTTACCCCTTGTCCTGTCAGTGCGGTTTCTAATGAAGAGTCCCTCCCCAGCATCCCTATAGGCCCCCTTCAGATACTGGAAGGCTGCTATGAGGTCTCCATGCAGCCTTCTCCAGGCTGAACAGCCCCAACTTTCTCAGCCTGTCTTCATATGGGAGGTGCTCCAGCCCCCTGATCGTCCTCGTGGCCTCCTCTGGACTTGTTCCAGCAGTTCCATGTCCTTTTTATGTTGAGGACACCAGAACTGCACACAATACTCCAAGTGAGGTCTCATGAGAGCAGGGTAGAGGGGCAGGATCACCTCCTTCAACCTGCTGGTCACGCTTCTTTTGATGCAGCCCAGGATACAGTTGGCTTTCTGGGCTGTGAGCACACACTGAAGCCGGCTCATGTTCAGTTTGTCATCAACCAGCACCCCCAAGTCTTTCTCCACAGGGCTGCTCTGAATCTCTTCTCTGCCCAGCCTGTAGCTGTGCCTGGGATTGCTCTGACCCAGGTGTAGGACCTTGCACTTGTCATGGTTAAACTTCATGAGGTTGGCATCAGCCCACCTCACAAGCGTGTCAAGGTCCCTCTGGATGGCATTCCTTCCCTCCAGCTTATCAACCCAACCACACAGCTTGGTGTCATTGGCAAACTTGCTGAGGGCGCACTCAATCCCCCTGTCAATGTCACTGACACTGACATGTCCCCCCGCATGTGACATTACATTTCTGAATGCTCACACTCTGCATCTGGAACATGAGTTACTCAGTTACCAATTACAGCTGCCTCAAAAATGCTTTCTGTGATATCCAACTCATTAGCATATGGGATATAAACATATGCCAATGACATTTACTGAAATCTACTTAATGTGTTTCAGGTAGTGGACAGATACTGTACTTTATCAGTAATTAAAAAAACTTCAGCCAGATGAAGCTCCTGCTCATCAAAATTAAGTTATTTCTGGAAGCACAAGCAACATGATTTTTCCTCCCCTGCAGACTTCTAGTGAAGAACCGAGTTAGTCTTATAATTAGCATGAGCAGTTTCTGAGCTAACAATCAGCTCCCATCCAAGTTTAATGAACCATAACATGATTTAGGTGAAAAATAGTCTACACTATGGCAAAACTGACTCATTATACAATGGTAATATTTTACTACATCATCATCCATTCTTACTAATCAAAACCACAGTATGTATCAGAAAAGGTAAAAGGCTATTTAGAGCAAAAAGCAAACCAAAATATTAACAGCATGGGGTGGAAAGTAACTGAGAACAGTTGGTTTGCAAAAATTGTCTCATAAGGAGCTGCACAGAGAGCCTTAATATGAGGCCCCATTATATCCAAAATTAATATAATGACTACTCTAGTACTGCTACTGATACTGCAGATACTATAAAAACCTAATTTTCTTGATTAGATGCAACTAATTATAAAACACACCAGAAAGGAAATGCAGGACAGAAAACAATGACTAGAGGTGAGGTACCTTGATGAAACCAACTGGAACATTACAAAAACAATCTTACTAAAACTATAAAGTCTGTCACACCAGAGACAGTCTAGAGCTCCTTTATAACACAGACCAGGGCAAAATGAGCATCTATGAAAAGAAAAAGGGAATACCAGACTTTGTAGTAATGCAGACTCTCCCAGCTGAGTTGCTGCTCAACTGACCTAGGGAACACAGAAGGACTGGAACTGAGCTGGAGGAATGTGGCAGAGGGAGTCTGATGTGCAAGGCTTACTGCAGGGGAAATGATGAGTTGGAACTTGGGATGATAGAAATGAAACTATTTCTGTACTGAATTAAAACACTGATTTAGAATTGAAAAACTTAAGGCACAGGTTTAAAGATTTTGTGGTAGGTAACACTTCGCAGTACCAATAATCTGAATTACCATTTGCTGATGATAAGAGTTCTTGAGGGATAAGGGTGGAAATCAACATTTTTATTTTACAATGCAAAGAACTTTTATTATAGTGCTTGTTTTTATTTCCTTGCTATAAAAACTTAATTGTGTAAGACTATTAATCTTTTTAAAGAGAAAAAACAAACCCAAGGTCAATCAAGTCTACTGCACAGGGCACACATGTAACACCAGAACCACAACTGAAACAATAAATTGACCACTTTCAAAAGCTCTTTGCTCTCTTGCACCCAAGGTTTCTTTCTTGTTCCTAGCCTATCTGAGGTTGCATGCACCTGCACTGTGCGTACTGGTACAGATTAGACACAACACAAAGGTTTGATGCTGCATTTCAGAATTTTTCCCTGCTGCAGAGGAAGAGTAGGATTCAGGACCCTCATACACCATTCCAGCTCATATGCCAGTCCTAAATGTACTCTCCAGCCCTTTTATATCCTTTCAGAGTTCTTTTTTTCCCTGACTCACCCTTTGTGCCTCTCTACCCCACCCTCCTTTGTTCTGCTTATTTTTAGTTCACCCATTCATGAATCAGTTCCTTTCCTCCACCTCAGCTTTCTTTCATCATCCCAGAATTTACTCTCAATCCTAGCTGTCTCTTTGAAACTACACTTCCCTGCCCTCTATTTCTTGGCTCCTTCTTCAAGGTCTCGCTTCCTGTGTATAATTTTGCTTCAACAGCATGTACCCCTTCTTTTAATGTCCTTTGCATATTTTCCTCTGTAGGTGTTTAAACTACTACTGAAGCTTAATTTGTTTTCTGTCTGGGAGAAACAATGTAAGACTTACAGAATACCAACAAATCTGCTGATACTTTTCTCCTATGAAAAAAATCCAGTGCTTGTTACTGAATCTGAATGAAAACTAGAACATTTTGGCAATATACACAAACAATATACACATGTAATTATATAGCATCCGTAAAGGCAATGCTGTGTTATTTTTTAAATTACTGCTAAATACAGTCAGTAGAACACTAATGACAATTAAAGTATCTCTGCTATTTCAACAAAAAAAAAAATTTAGAACTTTGAAAAAATGTATCAATGCCTAAGTGAAATAGTGAAGTAGTATGTGTTGTTTTAGGAATGAAAAAAAGATATTTCAATAACCATAGTGTTAGTTTACACTGGAAGTTCTTACATAAGTTTGCATAAGCCCTCCTTTAGTACTCAGATTCTCTACTTTTTAAAGTAAAAAATTTGTCTTAAAAAAACTAAACAAGACACAAAAAAAAAAACAACCAAAACCCACATAACAATCTACCTCCTCCCCTCTGTCATGTCAGGATTGTTTTTGTTCTCTTAAACAAGACCAAGCTTGACCTGGATTACTTACTCTTCATCTGTGCTTTTTTTTTTTCTGTTCATTAAAAAAGCAAAGCCTTGCATTTTACTGCAAGAATCCATTATAATATTATTTGAGATGTCTCTTAGTTTAGCCAATTAGAAGCAATAATATACAAGTAGCACTAGAGCTATGTTGCACCATCATCTATATCATTTCTCCTTTTCCTGCCTCCTGTAGTCACTCACTAATTTATTTGAATCATGCCAAAATAATAACAGGAAATACAACCAAATAATACAGAAAATTAACTGAGGAAGAAGATTAAGAATGGTGCTGTCCATAAAGATAAGACTTACAAACAATCAGATTATGACATTTGGCAAGAACATTCACTATCTGCATACCATCAGCTATCTATGTCTGTTAGTTTGGTGGGTTTTTTTGTTTTTTAAATTAGAATACGCATAAAGTAAGAATGCATATATAGAAATGAATTTGTTTGGCTTTTTTCTCTATTAAAACATGTAACCAGGTAATTATTACAACTTAGTAAAATGAAAGTTAGAAACCCAAAGGGAAGAAGAGTTACATTACCTCCCATAAGGAAAAAATAAAATGGCTGGGAGATGGTCTGTCATAAATTCCCATGGAAGGTCATTTCGAGTGGTATCAATTCTGTTAAGAAAATACACATTAATTAAGAGAACTGGCAGATGAACAATCCGTATTTTCTTGTAAAACGTCATTTTAGGCGTTGGCAAGAAGGAAATGCAAATCTGTGAAAGTAAGTCTAAATGTCAAATTGTGCATTTGAGTCAGCAGAAGTAATTGCTGCTATTCAAGAGGATGAATCTCAGTTTAACAAGTATCTGTGGTGGTTTTTTTTCTAGAAAAAAAAGTGTACAGTATTCCAACTGCTCTCACTCAGCAATTAAATTGCACATCACTCATCACATCTTTACTGTGTACCCACCTTCCTTTTCTAAAACAGACAGACCTGCCTAATAGTTTGAACATGAAACTGAAGTTTTATCTATTCGCTGTTCCTCAAGCCCAGCTTTATGAATATTTTCCCCTTGAGTAGTTCTGGGAGTAAACTGGTCCTTCCAAGGACAAGCATATTCTTAAAGGCATCATTTCTTTCTAAAGGAACAAAAGATTTTGTGAAGGGCACACTTGTTCAATTACTTGTTATGTTCTTCTCTGCATTTGTTAGATTACAAATAAAATTCTTATTAATTACAACAATATTATTATAGAAAAATCATAGATGATACACATAAGTAATACTGCAATAAAAATAACCCAACAAATGAGAGAACTTCAATGTGAAAAAAGAGAAAGGGTACAGATTTGAGAACAGCACTACACCTGTGGGAATAAAGCTGCAATTAGAAACAAATGATAACTCCAGATTTTTAATCACATTTTTTTCTTATACATCTCACTCTGCCTTCTGGAGTAAGTTCAGTCAGAATGAAACAAGGATGCAGTCAGAGCAAATGTTGTAACTATTGATGTATTATCAAATACATGAACAAGAATGTTTGGGTTGCACTGAAACATTAAAAGCCTTGTGAATGCCAAACAAAAACATGTTTAACTTACACAAAAATGTATTTTAATATATATAATAATACATATTATACAGATGCATATATAGATATATGTATATGTCTATAAACTGGATTTGGCTGGGATAGAGTTAATTTTCTTCCTAGTAGCTTGTATGGTGCCACATTTTAGGTTTGTGATGACAGTTAGTTGTCTTCCCTGTTTCTTACTCTACCTCCTCTGTAGAAACTCTACCAGTTTCTACTCTACAGTAGATAATCTGGGGGTTGGGGACCCAACCAGGCAGATGACCTGAACAAACCAAAGAGCTATTCCTTACTATGTAACATGCTCAGCAGTAAAAAGGAAAAGAGGGAGTTTTATGGGATTTACCCATCTTCTACTTGGGAACTGTCTGGACATTGCTCTACCCACAGGAAGTGCTGAGTAATTGCTGTTACATCACCTGTTTTGCTTTCTTCTCTCTCCTTCCACTTATCCTTCAATCCTAAACAAATCTGTTTTGTTGTCTCACGACCTCCAGATTTTACTGGTTTTATTCTTACATTCCTCTTCACACATCCCACTGAGGGTGGAGGAGGGAAGTGAGTGAGTAGCTGTGGGGTGCTTAGCTGCCCATCAGGATTAACACCCAACAATATGTATTTTTCCTGGTTCAAACAACTTCTCAAATACAATACTATAGGATATTATTATCTGCTACAAATTACCAGATAGAGGAGTAAAAATTATTTTCTGCTGTTGTTTTATTGATTCACTTCCTGAAATCAGGAAGCTTTAAGGTTTAAAAATTGCTAAAAGCTGTTTAAAAATTCTTCTTCATTAAACTGGATAACTACTACAGTGAGACTGAAAACCACCAAATCTATACAGAGGGAAACAAAATAATGCATTCAAAGAGAAATGAAGCAGATGACATTCACATCTACTACTGCAAGATTATAGTAAGAAAAGTAATTATTTTCTAGGCTGATGACCTCAATGAACTTGTATTATTCCAGAGAGTTGAAAATAGAATCTTTTTTACCTTGCCACAATGAAATTTTCTGGAGGCAGAAGCCGAGCAAGTTGAATAAAGATGTGATTAAGAGAAGCACAGAATCCACACCACTGTGCATAATACAGCAGCAAGACATTCTGAAAAATGAAATGGAGACGAATTTTATTATCTGTTGTAGTTAATCCACAGTAAAGGAGCACTAGTCTTCACAACATCTGAAACTTGGAACCCTTCATATGTGAAAGGAAACTGTACCTTAATGTTAATAAACTTTATTGTAAGATACTTACTGACGCCTCTGTCTACCACGTTAATACACAAAAACTTGGTGAATTCTATTTCCATAGGAAAAAGACAAAATGAAGAGGATTAGATGATTTAGTTTAGCATCATTCCCTTTAAGTGGAAGTGCACCAAAGTTTACTACACTTCCCAATATTCTCTCAGAGTCTTAAACTTCTATGTATCCAACAGTGACTGTATACTTCATGGCGAGGGCAGGGAGATGGTATCTGGACATCAGGAGTAAGGGCTACTGGAAACAATTACTTGAGATGCATACATTCATTGCAGACCTGACAAATAATAGATATTGATCCTTACTACCACATCTTTAAGAAATCAAAGTAATCTAATCACAGTTCAGAGTGAGATCTAAAGCAATTTCACAGCATGCAATTGGAAAGCCTTCACCTGTGACAGTTTTGTGTCACAGCTTTCAAATAATAGCTTAGATTTAAAATATTTTGGATTTTTTTTCTTTTTTCTTTTACTTTTTTTTTTTTTAACTATGTCTACTTTGCAATAACTTTTAACTTTTACAAAAGACTGTAACATATAGAAAACAAGTTGTGGTGCATTTATCTCCTTTGAGGTGTAAAACACAGAAATCAGAATATTCTTCACTATTACTTTAAACCCTAAGTATTTAGGTGTGTTCTTATTACAGCGCGAGAAAGGGAAAAGCAAGGCAGACGCCTTTTTTTTTTTAAATAAATTAAATAATAATAATAATCTATATTTCAAACATATGGGAAGAAAACCCCCACACCCCCTCCTCTCCCCTCAAAAAGCCCAAGCAGCCCCCCAAAACCCAACAAACCTTGTTGAAACCTATCATGGAATCAGTTGCACTGACTTTTGGATTAACACCGTAAAATGATCTTTTTCAGATTTAGTTAAGATCACACTATACCAAACTGCCTTTTTTAAAGAAAAGGTACTTTCTGAATTGTTACAAAATGACATATTTCATCACATCAATATCAAAGAAGAATGAGACCCACTCTTCAAAAGTCTGAGCAACAATTTGCAAGAAACCTGGTCAGCAATGAGGTGTTACCTTTTCACTCAAAAACACTGTCTGATGGAAGGTATTAGTAGTCACTTCAGTGATTACACGCTGGTCATGAAGACGGACTGAAGGGTCATCAACAAGATGCCTTTTCAAGGGACTATAGAGAATACTGAAATTTTTTATGAAGTTCTCTGAAATTAGATTGATACATAACAAAGTTATTTCAGTTTCAAAAATGTGTGATTCTGGCAGTTTTTACTTTGGATTCAGAAGAACTTGCAGAGAAAATACAAATTCAAACCTGGTTTCATGTAAGTAATTTTTGACAGTTTGGTATCAACTGTCGAGTAACCAACACTGATGTGAAAACAAGGTAAGATTTTACTGGTTTTGTTTTGCTCATTACAGTCTTTTCACTTGCCACACTACTCTCTAATCTTGCTTCTACTTTTATTCAGTGTACTATAATAATAATTGTCTATGCTCCTAACCACGTATCTGCTAACTCATAAACAGTATCCTCTCACCATTTTTCACTTTCAGGCCCTTATCCTGACAACTTAATTCCACATTTATTTGCATTTATTCTTTCGTTTTTAATTACTTTCCCTGTACTTTTCTTTTTCTTCTGACATTTAAATGCTGCGCTATTCCCATGCTAATATGACCAGCCACCTTTTGTTCACCAGTGACCACCATCCTCTTCATTTAGCTTTCTTCTTAGTTTTAAGGTATTTAACAAGTAGCTGGCCAGTGGTAAAAATGTAAAGCTAGCTCCAAAGCCCTCAACTACCTTCACCTACTCTGAGACTGGACCACGTTCTCTAAATTGCTGCAAGATAGCGACTGTATCCTTCTTTTCAATTTAGATAGAGAAATGTTATTCTGTGCATTGTAAGAGTATTCAATGATCAAGACAAAAATATAATATCAAACATGCTAAGAGTAATTATTTCATCAGATAAAACATTTTGTGCTGGTATTTCCAATCCAAAACCTAGGCCAAAGTAAAACTGGCACCTTAACATACATACAAAATGCCAGAACATCAAGTTTACCTCTGAAATGCAAACAGCGGTACATTTAATCTTACAATTACACAGCATTTCATTAAATTCTCACATCAGACCAAAACAGTTGTGTTGTTTTTTTTCTTTCTAGAGCTCCTGATTTGGAGTATCTATGCATGAGTAAGCACTAACTGAAAGGAGAAGGGTAATGAAAAGACGTAGTCCTGAATTTTTAGAAACCATCTGTAAAAACTAAATTCTGTTAAAGGCATTAAATACAAACCTTGTTTGTAATTTTGCAATATCAAAAGTTAAAGAGGCTTAAGGAAATAAAACCCACCCACACAAACCCCAAACATAAAATCATAGCGACTCCTTGAAAAGATTATGTAGAAGCAGAAGTTTTCCACAAGTTCAGGTGACCTAGAATAGAAATATACTGAGAATTACGCAGTAGAGAAACCCTCATCATGCTCAGGAAATCCTGTGACCTGACAAAAGTTTGAGACAGAAAGTACTGGGAGCAGAAAAGGGAAAGAAATGTGTCCTCACTCTGATCTTAATTTTCCCCAAGCATCCTTTTATGGTCACTGGGGTTTTCGTTTGGTTTTCCAGAATGATTTTTTTTAGGGGGCTATAATGGAGGCAGGATACACGGCTGGATGGGATCCATAAGACCAACAAGTCTGTTGTGCATACTTTTGTACTTCCAGATTTATGGCAAAACATAATTAATGCTGTAAGAATTCTACTGATATGCAATTTTGAACAATTTATTTTAATGCTATATTCACTGAACTTACTTCCATGTTTGCTTACACTGCTAACATGAAAAATTCCTGCATTTTCCACAGGTGGACTCAGTTTTGCACGTTATCATGATACATAAATGCACGTCATTAGGCATGTTGTGCCTGAGTCAATAACTTGCAAATAAATCAGAACTGCATTGGGTTTGTTATTTTTTTAGTTTTGTTTTGGGTTTGGTTGTTAGGTTTTTTTTTTCCTCTGATTGAAGCAGGAAATGAGTATTGAGATGTTTGGCCAAAACCATTACAGAGATCTACTTTGAAAACACACATACTTTGCTAAATAAATTTAAAACAATTTCTAAGTTGGTTTCAGAGGACAAGAGGAAGGGTTAGTCTCTGCTTACAAGTGGAGACTTGTCTGTGATATTTTAGTACACAGAATGGGTGAGCAAACATCAACACCACCATTAATATAGAATGTCTTCTGCAATACCAAGTTTGTTAGATACTTAGTAATTTTTTTCCCCACAAGCAAATTAGTTTAGATTTTACCAATTCTTACAGTGCTTCAGCCAGTCAAGAATTACACATTTTGTGTTTCACTTTAAACTTCATAGACTTTTGGTATATGAAACTTAGTTCTCATATCCTCTAGAACACAAGTCTAGTGCTTGATTAACTAATACACAGAACAGAACAAATTACGATTCACAATGTTGACTGTAGTCTTACTTTTCAAAACGGCATTAAGTTTTCCATTGATAAGCTTACTTGCAAACTTAATTTTCTCATTTCAAGCATTTGTATAGTGGATACCATACCCAGGGTAGATCCGACAAGTGACTGATTTTGATCCAAGACATAGTGCACTTCTTCTTTCAGGTCAACAATGGCAGCAAATTCCTTAACATGAGTAGATCTCGATGCTCCTAGTCTCTCTGCATATATCCAAAAAAGATTTGAATCCAGTAGATAGAGATTCAAGGTTTTGTTGGTCCTGCAGCTCAGACCAGTAAAGTTAGTGCCACTACTATGAAGGTCAGGAATAAAACAATTCCTATCCTCAATGTGAGGAATAGAATGTTGGGTGTCATCTTTCTTCCCATGGGAAGAAAATGTTACTTTGGGGGTCTGAAAGATGGTTTTCTCAGAACTAATGAAGCTTAAAAAATGCCTGTTTACTGTCCTGCAACATGCAGTGTAATAGCTAAAGGGACTATAGAAACTTAAGAAATTGCTGCATTCTATGGTATTTGATATAACTTGAAAAAAGGTATGTTCCTGGAGGTAGAAAGAGTCCAAAGCTGCTTCTATCTCAAAAAAGTTACAGTGTGGCACATGGACTTTATTTGGTTTGACACCAAGTGTCTGGTTAATGCAAAGCTCACAGACATTGTGAGTTCTAGATATTGAATGCCACTGTGGAAGCACCACTGTGTTACAGCATGGCGACTTGGTTATCGAAAATGTTTCTGATAATTTCGTATGTGCATCTGGTACAGAGGAATCAAAAGCTGGTGAATCAGTGTCTCCTAAGCGCTGAAGATCTGGCTCAGCTGCCTGGCTTTTATTGCAGTTGTGGTATTCCAAGGCCACTTTGGTAATCTACAGGGAAGGGGAGAAAAAAAAAGGGGAAAAAAAAAAAAAAAGGCAACATTAGCTGTACATAGTTCACTTAAATGCAGGTATCCATTGCAGGTTTAACAACATAACATGCAATGAGAGAATTTCAGAAACTTGAAGTTGACTACTCTTCTCCTTCATTCTTACAAGAGATTACAGAAGGCTCTGACCTGATAGCGAAGTTAAATTTTCAGATACTTCAGTGTGTAAGAATTAAATGTACAGAACAACAAGAAGCCACTTCAAATATTTTTTCCGTCCACGACACTGATCCCAGGGTCCTCTTTTCATTGTATCTATCACTACTGCATTTTAAGGCTAAATCCCACTACATGAAGCATTAATCAGTAAAGGTTCCTGAATTTCCCAATACGAGAAGAAAATAAAAGCATTCCCATATGAAAGGGATTGGAGCTTTTACCTGCTATAGGTGGTACACAATTTTTGTAGCAATCACTAACAGCGTTGAAGCAATGTTAGTATTTTCCCAGCCATGGGCATATGGTTGTAATACCACTGGTGTACTTTGCATATAGTAGTGTGTGACTTACTAAAAAAAGAAACCAAAAAGGAAAGAAAAAAAAAAAAAGAAGCCTGCCTCTCTGCAAACATTCCTGTGCTGCATCACCACTTTGTTCTTAATCAAGAGGAAACAAGCAGTGAAAAAGGCATCTGTGTGGACCACAGAAGGAATTTTCTTTCTAGGAGTTAAATAACATCACATATAGAAAGGAAAACGAAAGAGGGAGTTTCCCTTCCCTTTAATCTATCACATTAAAAATAATCAAATCACAGAATATACGCACACTGCTCACACAAGAACACTTTGATAGGAATCATTATAACTATCAAAGGGATGGTGAAGCATCACATCTAAGATGCTGTGTGTCACAGGACCATCAGCATTAAGATGTGGTTTATACCAAGTTCATTACAGTCTGAGAATTTGTTGTTAGACGTTTTCATCCTGAAAATGCTCAATTAACTACTTAGAATAAACTTGATCCCTCATACCATAATCTAGCCTGATAATTTGGACTACCTATATAGAGGAACATGAACAGAAAACCAGTTCTGCAGTAGGAAATCTCACTTCAGTGAACTACTATCAGAAAAAGAAAAATCTGCCCTTAGAGCTTTCAACATACAACTTGACAGCCTTGTTCTTTGCCACTTCCTTCCAGTCAAGTGGTTTCACTGCTTGATGAACTCCACAGAACATCTGCAGTAAACATCTCTTCCTATGGTAAACAAGTTGCATAATATCTCTCTATGACAGTGAAGCTTCACAAGACCAACTGGAATATTTTGTATCATCTCATTTCTTGCTTTGATATAGATAAATACTATTACTTAGAAGAATGAAATCTGAAATGGAACATCTCATGTTGCACTGATTTCATCTAAGTAAGTGGTACCTGTTACTGGAATGTTTAATCTGTAACAAGCATCACTGAATTAAGTCTGCTAAAAATAAGACAGGTTGGTACAAGAATAATCACAGGTTTTTTCCAGTCTTTCAGCAAAGATTTCCCCAACCCCACTTTGCAGCAATCTAGCTTTCATTGTGTTTATGTCTAATTTGGCTAAATATTGTATCGTACATTATTTTCTTTTTCTTCCTCGTTGTTTCAGACACTGCAATCCTAATTAGGCCTCCTTGTGGAAACCACACATTGCAGGACATGGATGCCACACACGTAAGGCAGCACTGCCACCTAAACTTAACCCCACTTTTCACCTTTCACTGATTCTTCTTTCTTTTACCACACTGTCCTCAGTGCCATGTGATCACCACTGTGACGTGCAGCTTTGTGATGTACCAAATGGGACAGTGCATTAAAGCTGAAAAATAGCCTGTGGAAAGTCTATTTTTCAGCTAAGTCACTTTCCCTATCTCCTTTACTGCACAGTTACACAAACTCATGTCTTGGGCTGTTCAGAAATAGAAATAATGACAGAGGAAGAGAATATTGGAAGGCGAATAAGGAATGTACGTAATATAAAAATCAGATTAGTTCTGAGTAGATTTTCAATTGGCCTATACTTCAAATAACACTGGTTTAATAAAAGGTCCATTCTTCCTTGCATAATCATGTCTGGAAAGATGGAAGGGGAGGAGAAATAGAATGGGTGGACAAAACACAGGTCCCACAATACTCCATACATTCTTACTCTTTCATTTGAGCTATGTCAACTGAAACAGAAAACCAAAGATCTGTGTCTCTCACCCAGCACTCACCACAACAAGAAGGAAATGAAAAGAATTAGGTGCTTGTTCTAAACAACTGTTGACAAGATGAAAGCACATTGTGTGGGATGCAAACCAGTGTAAGGGACTTGGGATAATATGGCCTGAGAAAAAGTGTTTTTAAACAAAAGAGAATACTTGGAACAGTGAAATAAAATATCTGTCACAATTAAGCTCAGAACCCCTACCACAGTTCTCAAATTCTAGTATTTTTAAAGTAATAAAGAAAACAACCTGCCCCCCACAAACAAACAAACAAACAAACACACACAACATTTCACTTACTTCATCTAAAAGAGGATGAATTTCTGCTAAGGGATCGTAAGGTATAAATATGAGAAGTGCCGGTCCCTTCTTCAGCTCATTGTTTAGAAGAAGGCTTTTTCCACCATGTGGTCTCAGCCAGCGTATGAGCATCTCTCTATTTTCTAGAGCCCACTTGCAAATGTTCTCAGCAGTATAGTTCATGATGTCATTTGGATAGATCTTGAAGGGGGTGAAAATAATTATTTGTCCTCACCTGTTCATAATTAATGCAGTTCTCAAATACGCCTTGTTAATATAATGCCTAAAAACCCCTAAATTTAATTATACTACTCAGCAAGCTTCAGCATTTCATACACCCTTTCCCTTTAGAAAAACTTTCAAATGCTCATCAGATCATAGTAACACATTAAATCTTTGAGGCAGAAAGTATTCTACCAGGGAAGTTCCTTTCTTTTACTACATTTTTTTATCTTTACTTTTCTCACCGATATAAATTTTCTTTATAAGTGAAAGAGCTCAGTCTCTAAGTTGGTATCATCACATATCCTGATTTACAGTATATTGGAAAACTTTTTCCTACTCTCGGTCACCAAATTAATTCACTATAGATTAGTCTTTTAAGATTCCAGCATCAACACTGAATTTATAGCGGGTATTTCTTATTACTGAACACATGGAAAAGACATACATAATAAGAAGCACTCACCACTTCTACAGTCATTTTAATAAATTACGGCAAGTTATCTTAAATCATTTGCCCAGACAAAAGTAGTTTTATGTAGTTACCAATAATTTAACCCGAGAAATCTATATTTTCCCTAGTTTCAAATGAATAAAGTATGTATTACAATCACAGAATTTCCACTCATGGTAGCAGTATGGATAGATAAGGTCTCTATACCACACACCAAATCTGGAAGTTAGTATTTTCAGTCTTACTCTTCCAAAACCAAGGCATGTGGATCAAGAGTTACTATAAATTTTCAATTAAATTAATTTGCATGATTTTTCTGATCAGTGTAATGTCATATTTTAAACCAAAATACAGTTTTCACTATTCCTATTCTCTCCACAAAACCTCTTTGTCCATATCCTCATTCAAGTAGCCTTCTATTTCTGACCCACTTAAAGAGTTAGAAACCTTAGGAAAAAGTCTTTGTGCAGTAATTTCTGAGCTGCTTGGGGTTTTGGGTTATGTTTTGATAGAAGTGAGCAACTTGGGTTGATGTTTAAAATAGCTGCTGACTTCTAGAATGAAAATGTGTTTTACTGTACAAAAATCCTGTATCCTAAAGCTCTGTGAAACAGTTATTCAGAGTCTGTAACAACAGAGCTTCGACCTCCATGTACTGGCTCAGAGGCATGACGACATAAATAAAATACTCACAAGAGATGTGTTGACATGTCTGTGCAAGTACACACTGCCTGAATGCACCAATGAGATCTCCTCTGCAACATGTTTATCTGTGATCACTCCAAAGCGTATTGTTCCAAGGTAATCTGAAAGGGCAATTTTTTGATTTTTAAATACAATTATACACACTGAAGCTCTCCTCTGAAAGCCTTAGAAGAACACCTTCAAACCAAAACACAGGACATTGCTGTGTAAAGGCACAGAAATCTTACTGAATACAATACTGGTGATTAAGTGAGGAAGACGACAAAAGCAGACAAGAATAAGTGTGTTCCTCTTCTGCACACAAAGTATAGGGAATGTTAACCTGAATTGTGCAATTTCTTGACTTCCTTATTAAATATAGAACCTGGTATCACAGATGCACCTTGCCACGTGTTATGGCACCTCATAAGCCAAGGTGAGATATGTGTAAAGAAAAAGTATGAACACTGATTCTTTAGATGATGTACATTTACAGTAAATATGCATTAAATATGAATCATAGTATTTCTATATTTATAAATATGTACCCACAAGAATAGAATATTTGTCATCTTTATACTGCAAAGAACTATCCCAACATATAAATGGGGAAATTACAGAAAACAAATATAGGAGAGCATGCTCTATATCATGTACCAAGTTAGTGGCACAGTAAAAATCAGAATAATGGTATAAATTTCCTTCATTTGCTGACAGGAATATCCATAAAATGTGCTAATCTTAACTTTAAAAAAACTCTATCCAGAATTTATGACCCACAAAATAGGTACTAATCATATACAAAGTTGCATATTTAAATGCAAGAGGTTTTATATTTTAGATTATTAATGCAAAACAACAGGGGGAAAAAGTCCTTCTCCTCATGCTACCTTGTACCAGTTCTTTAACTCCACCCAGCAAACCATTTTCTTGAATTCAGTTACTAAGTACTGACAAAGCAGAGTTCATCCTAATGCCTCTGAATGTGCCATTTCAAATGTTGCACAAGACAAACACTCTTGAGTTCAATTTAAGTAAGTGCTACTCTGATTATGGCTCCTGTACAGGTTGCAGCAATATAGTTAGGTTTTTGAGGAAACTGTATCTTAATGTATCCTGGAATAGCAGCCTGTCATAGACTTTATTCCATGATGGCCAATGCCATAATAAGCCTTTTACTTAAGCAATCCTTCCACTGTAGTAAGAGACAGTCTTGTAATTAGGTCAACATCAAGAAACACTCAAAAGGAATTAATTCCCAAGTTACAAAATACTGCAAAAATACTGATGTCCATATACATGACTCATTCACAGATGCCTTGGATTATGAAAATTAAGCTTTTACCTTTCTTTAATGAATGCAGTGCTGATGTGAAGAACGTTAAATAACCAGGTGGTTGAGGCGAAGCGTTGAACTCAAAATATCCCAGAACGCCAGGCTGAAACAAAAAGAATTAGAGTTAGTTAAGTTATTTTCAAGTGTAAATGTATGGGGCACAGCAATTATTTGCCTACAGAAAAACACAAATGATTTTTAAAAGACAAGAATATTTACGGAAGAGCAGTCACTTTGTGCTGCAAGAAAAGTTTTAATATTAAAATACTTAATGGAAATCAATTCTAAAATTGTCAATCAAAAGCTATGTATGAGAGAGGGCTTTTATGGATGTAGATGGGTAAGTTTCAAACCACATTATTTCCCATGTTAGCTGTTAAAGTTCACTAAAAACACTTAATATTTGCTTTGCAACTATTCTGAGTCAGTTCTAGCACCAACATAAGAACCATAAGCATCACAAAAACTTCTTTTTGAACTGGAGTATCGAACGTGTTCACTATATTGCACACAATTAGAAAGTACATTGGATTCACCATTTTGTGCATGAATACTTGAGCTGCTAAACCAGCTTATCATCCCATCACATCAGTCATTGCAAATTCCTTCAGTATATCCTGCAGAAGTCAGTGAGAGAGCAGCTACACAAAAATAATGAAAGAGCTCCATATCAAACCTACATATCCATAAAGTTCTTCAAACTGCCAAACAGACATTGAAATTTAAAAGGCTCATTCCTGAATAGGCCTACTGACTTTGTCAGGTTATGAAGGCTGCACACCTTCATATGGAATTCAGGAAGAGAAGCTGGGAGAAATTGACTTGGAACACAGAGGTGCATAGTCTTTAGACTTCTCTTATTCCAAAATTTCAATTAAGTTTTGGTTTTAAATATTGAAAATATAATCCATTAACATCATTTTTAATTGTGGGTTTTAACACATCATTCAAATTGGCTTAATAAATTGTCATGATAGTAAGTGAGGGAAGTTGGTTGCTTTGTGTAGTATGTTTCCCTGTTCCACCCATGCATACAGAAAGAGCATTTGATACACAAAGCAAGAGCACTCCAGGGATTGCTGTGGAACAAAAGATTCCAGACTCACAGACCACCACATGTATTTGTGTGGCAAATACACTCCCACATAAGCATTTTGATTTGTTTTTTCAGAGCCTGCTTTATTTTTTTTTTTGAGTTTTATATATAATACTGAATATGAATTCAGTAATTCATACCAGCCATGCAAATTGAGCTAATTCAGTATGAATTTGTGATCTCAGAATGCTCACCGATAACAACATTGCCCATTCCAAATGATGACTGCTCTTTTTAGGCAGGAATTCTCTTTCATAAATGAATGCTGAATACAAGACCCTTGTTCATAAAGATTCCTTACAAGGTACCCCAAGAAAAATATCAAGATTATTAGAATACCAGCAATTAGTGAAATTTCTGCAATAAAAACTGTCAAGAAGGAAATAAAAATGGAAATAAAACAGAAGGAAAAAATACAGCAAAATAGCAGCACTCGTTCTTTTTTAAACAGTAAACAGGTTAGTAATTACTGATCACCTTTTCCTCCTAGTACCAAATTAAGACAGCAAAAGGAAATAATCCCTTATAAAAAACTTTTAAAGTATTCAAGTGAACCAAAATAAAGAGATAGACAAGATGATCCCATTTCCTAGGACTGTTTTTGAGTACATGAATTGAACTTATGGGCACCAAATAGTGAATGAGAGTCAGCAGGGTCAGTAAAATGTGACAAGCCAAAACCCAGATCTAGAAATATTTATAAAGATATTAAAAAAGGCGACATTCTGATTCTGACTGCCAGTTTGTTGTTCACTAATAGTAGCTTAAAACTTCCAGACTGTGAAAAGTAAGATGTTTCCAGGAATCTTTTTTGGAAAGTTTTTTTTTTTAATAAGAAAAAATTGTAGTGGAACAATATATATTAATGCTCTATGCCTGTTAATTAATGTCCTTTCAATGATCACCCCAGAATAATTAAAATTTCCTTCCTGTTACAGGCTGCATTATACATAAGAGGCAAGTGTCTAAAGTGCTGTATTTCTTCTCAAGTATCATGCAGATTCTCTCAGTGGAGAGATTCACATGCTAATAACAACTCTGCTTTAAGAAAATGGAACACTTCCAGGTGCTAGCAACAAAGTGCCTTGCTCCATACAAGTGAGATTCAAGTCTTATGAAGAGATTTATTGATATAAATAAGAGGTTCCTAGTTTTGAATACAATTCTGCCAAGAGGACCTTGACTGCAGCAACTCCCACTTCATGTAAGAACCTCCACAACAGTAACTGATTTAGCAACAGTACCTGCACACAGTTTATGTGGGCATCTACATACAAGCTCTTACTGATGATCACCTGCTTCTGTGAAACCATCTCTGTGGAGTTATGGTTAACTACTTACATGCAGGCAGTTAAGAATAACCAGTTGAATGCAATATGACTTGCTGCTATATCAAGTTGGAGAGTAAAATACTGGAATGTGGCATAGGGATAGTTAGGAGCATTGGCATTGCTAGAATGGAACAATTTCCAGTACCTGCCTCAAATCAAGCATCTGTAGGAAAAGGTTTTGGAACAAACCTGAGGATATCAATAGTGAAGAGTCATGAGAACATCTACTGAAAGGTATATATGGAAATACAAAGTCACTAATTGTCGTGTAGCCTATTTCTTGCTTAGTTTCTGAACCAGAGCAATGGAAAGTGATGTGTGATGCCAATTAAATCACATAAATAACAGACTTGACAAGAATCTCAACAATTAAAGAACAGCAAGTTCACAGAAACTTTAAGAATTAACAGAGATCTTCAAGTGAGTAATTTTTACTGGAATGTTTTTATCTCTGAACCATGCCTCATGTCTATCTCAGCTCTTTGAAGGAATGACCAAGCACATAGATGACTGATCTACTCGATGCAGCACACTTTTTCCCCAAAAGCCTACATGAAGTCACCAAACATACTGGAAGAAACTAAGGTGATAAGAAATAACATGGAAGGTCCTTTTCTAGATTAGTAGAAAAGTTACGAAAGTACAGGTAGAAGTTCTTGGTTTTCCATAGTCAAAGTTAGCCAGTCAGGATGTGTACTGATATTCACAGAGTTCAACACTTCTATAAACACTTCTGAAAAGGAAGAGAAGGCTGAGGAATAAAATTTCCAAAGCTTATTGATAATCATTGAAGCAAGCTCAGGGGAGTCGCAGAAAAACAGTATTAAATGACTATGTGATGAAAGCTCCTCTGAAATGTAAAGGCCTGTAAATGAAAAGTAATGGGAATGGAGAACAGAAAAACAACCACCACAGCTACCGGTCAGCTTTTACTATTAGATAAATGCTTTTACTACTCAATTAAGTGACTTCTGTTCCAATCTGTACTTATTTATTTTTACGTTTTGGCTATTTTGCATTGAGGTAAGGGAGATTTCACCACCCCCCACCCCCCCACCCCCCCCCCAGAATCTCAGACTTGTGCAGGCAGGCAGTTCCTGCCTCCTTTTACCTGCAAATACAGGAAAGAGAAGAGCAAGAGAAAAGGAATGTGTTCTGGGGAACAGAGCCACCAATACTGCATACCACTAATTCTATAATGTGGAAATGCAAAGAAGCACCTGTTGATTGATACTACATAAAATTTACAAGTAGAAGTCTGTTCATCTTTAATGATTAATTAATGATGTTGTGTATCCAGAACTGAAAGCAAATTCTCACACGATCATTTAACACAGGCACCACAGTACATACACAGGAGCAAGCTATGAAGTCAAATCCACTTCTGTGTCAGATCCTACACACCTGGTTAACGCTCAGAAAGCATTTCTACACAAACAGAGCAAAGAAGAAAGCTGACACCATGTGAAGACACATAGCAGCTACCTCCCAAAGAGACCAATTCCTCCCTCACTTCTCCTAAAGCCATTAAATGTGCCCTGGGCACATGTAATTTTCTTAAGTGAATGAAGCTTTTTGTTGAACTAAAGAAACTGCATGTGTTCTTTCTCTGTGCCTTGGGAAGAGGAGGCTGTTTCCAGTAGCTGGGTTAGTTAGATGAGCAACGAGACATGCCAGTTTGGATTAAAATGAAACTGTTACATCTCTGCAGTTAAGAAAACAAGAGGTCTGACTATGAGTACTTACAGGTAACTAACTGAGTTATGGTAGTAAATGCCTATCTTTCTCTTGATGTAACTCAGTTCTTCCTACATATTCCAAGATTAGAACTTCTTTCCAAGTGGGAATTTTTTCCTTCCTCTCAAAAATTACATTCTAATTCTTACCCAGTTCTAGTTTTGCACTAGTATCCTTCCACAACCACACACACAAAAAACCCCAACCTTACACAGTATTAGACAGTGCAGAATCTGTACTTTTTCCCTTCCACTGGAATTTTTTTCATGGGGTTTGAGCGCCCTCCTGTGAGAGCAATACAGCATCTCCCAATAGTCATGACTTGGTTGAGGAATGGATGTAACAAACACCATGTCACTAACATCACTATCTATTAGTATTTCTTCTAGTATTACTATCTATTCATTAATATTTCTTCAAAATAAAAACATGCTAATTAACAGTTGAATATAATATAAAATACTGCTGGATTTCAGTATCTCTTGCTGTGTTTCAACTTACAAAAAAATTCTGAATGTTTATCTTTGTACCTTTACAGTACTGATCATTGAGGCATGCTAACACATTTAATTGATTGCAATATTCAGTTGAATGGGGACAGAGCTGCCAGTTTTCTCTGCTAGATCCTTTTCTGTCAAAAGCTGGCTACTGGAATTTCAACACAAGATTAAAGCACCAAAAGCTTCACACATTAGATAGAAAAGGACAACTATGGGCTTGAAGTCCTCCCTATCAGCAAACTGACAGGCAGCAACAAAACACCCTTGAAACAAGAAAAGAAGGGTGCAGTAGTTCTTTTAAGTATGAAGAAAGGAGAATTTCAGCTCAACATGATGCCCTGCAAATGAATCACTCATCTACTTATAGTTTACCAACTTATTGCATATTCCAGATTATACACAGTGCTTGGACACCAATTATTATACACCAACCCTTGGACAGGGAAACAAAACAATGAGGACCAAAAGTGAGTGACAGGCAACTGCTCTGCGATCTACTGCTTCCTTAATATGGGAGACCTTAATCCCAAAGTAGAATGAAAAAGCCAAGGAACAGGCTGGGCACTAAGGAACTGCTGAAGCGCAGGCTGGGGATCAGCCACAAAGCAGCTCTTTTCAACTGAAATTTTCAAGTCAAAAGTAAATACCCCTTGCATAAGTCTGTAGAACCCATTCCCTACCAGGACTGAAAATTAGATACTGATGATATATCTTTCAGAAAATATTCTGAGATACAAATTAATAATCTTTTTAATGAAGAAATCACAAAAGCCTGATCAAGCAGCAGTAATCAAAATGCCCAATGATCCATCCTTTACCATCTTCTCTCTCCTCTGCTAAAAATTATCATTTTTAATATCTAAAGGATCAAAAATCAAAGGAAAACGTTAGCCAAGGTTCTCAAAATAGCAGTTTGTGCCATACATGCGCTTTGTGTAACCTACTCTAAACCTAACACTTTCTACTAACACAGGAGTCACCTCCTGGATTATATATTCCCCTACAAAAGGTATAAAGTTCCTCAACTTACATGGGAAATACCAGAAAACATTAACATTTCTAACTGGTTAAAATGATGAAACTTAAGTGTTTGTTTCTGGTTTAAAAGGAACTCTTCCTTTGTCCCTATATTTCCCTCTCCATCCATCTTCATGTACAATTCTCTGTATCCCAGCTCATGATCCTCAGCATTTTCCTGCTGCACTCATCTGGACTTGCCCTGTTTCCTTAACTTTACAAGAGTAACAAACTCAGCACCTAGTGTCACGGTCTGGGAAATAACCTCAGCCTTAAATGACTGCAGGGCAGCATGAAGATCAGACTATATGCCTAGTCCATTTCAGAAAAAAAGAACTAACAAATGCTGAATATAAACACAGATTAGGCATTTGGAGCCACAGAATTTAAAGCACAGGAAGGAAGGGTGTTTGAACATAGCAATAAAGAAATCTGTTCAATTGCTAAGCAGTATTTAAAAAAATATTTTCTGTTTCCTCCATAAATTTGTCTTTTATCTTAGTATTTTTCCAGTAGAAGTGCACCTCCTCTGGAAAGCAAATATAAGCTTAATGACACTATGCTAATTAGTTACCTTTTGCACACTATTAAGAAATAATTCATGTAACACAGACCAAAAACACACACGACTGTTTTCAAATCTCTATAGGAGGCAAAAAAGTAACAAGAATTTTAGAATGGCAAAACCAAAGCAGTGAAAGGACAACAAAATCGTTCGTGATCACAGAAAGCATCAGTGTCAAACAGACACAATTCCTGACTCACAGTCCCTGCTTAAAACACTGGAAAATTAAACCCACAAATAGCTCCTGAGGGATACACTGAAGTGTGAACAGCACAGCACCTACCCACGCTAACTACCAGCGTGCATCCCCTTACACTGTAGCAGCTTTCATCTACCAGCACTTCTCATGCTCCAGCCTCCAGCAGAACCAGTCATTAGGACAAGTGCTAATTCAAAGAGGACCTCTGCTTTGTTCTGAAACACTCGAAAGCCTCTCACCTAGCATCAGTCTGTTGATTTGGTGTCCCATTCTGCCCTAATAGCTTAGGGTTTAGTAAGATTAGAGTTGTGCACTACAGAAATGAACAGTTATAAAGGGATTATAAATGCTTCTGTTGTTAAGTGCATTTTGTCTCATTGGAGGTTATTAATCCACTAGTATTGCTATCACTCTTGGCTCTTCCAAACACAACTGACCAAAAATTAATAAAACACAATATACCAGTGGATTAAAATCACAAAGTTACAGCATACAAAGTGGTTAGCAGCCATTATTTCAACTGATTTCACATTTGTTTTTACTTAACAGACTTATCTCATTAGAAAGGATTACTATTCCTTTAAAAATTAAAGCAATTGTTATAAATCTCTCAAATAATTTCCCAACTTAGACTGCAAGATTATTGTGAAAAGATTTTTCCCTTCTTTCTTGTTCGCATGTAACCTTTCAGTGAGGTAACAACTTCAGCTGTTGTCTCTACATATTAAAGTACTTTAAGAGCATCACTAAATCATAGAAGTAACTATACAGGGAACGAACATTATGAATTTGTCATTTCATATTTTCATGATTTTAACAGACTTACAGGGCACTTATTTCAGGATCCTGGAAATAAACTAGTACTTTGGAGCAGATCAAATTAACTGTGAAACAAGTCAAACTCTTTCTGAACCACAGTGGTAAAGCTAGAGAAGAGAGACAAGTACCTCATAATTTGAGAGGAAATCTAGTAATTTTGATCGAGACGAGATGTAGAGTAGTGGTGTCATCACCCGGCGAACAAACTTTTCAATATAAACAGCACTCATTGGGCCTTTGTATTCAATTGGTCCAAAACTAGTACCAAAAAAAATAATAAATCATTAAGACTTAAATTAACAATAGAGTCAGTCCCTCCTGGGGGTGGCAGAGATAGGAGTTACACGGACAGCATGCTCAGCCTCTAGGAAATTGATCTCTGTGTTAATTAACAGTGGCTTCTGTAGCTAATAAGACGGGTTGTGTTACCAAGCTTGAAGTACAGAGCAGACACTGCAGTGACTCTAATGCAGTGTCTATGATTAGGTGCAGTGTGTTGGTGGGGATGAATAGATGGAGACCACCTCTCAGTCCCATTGCAGAAGTTGGTAAAATGCAAGTATAAATCATATAGGTACCTTTCTGCTTTATCCAAAGTAAATACATGTGACTTAAAAATACAGATCTGAAAAATGTCACTATTTTCCCTTGATTCTTTTTTAAATCTTAGAAAGTTCAAACAATATCAACCTGAAAAGGTGCAATATTTTTTACACAGATTTTTACAAGTAGCACTCAATAAAACAGGGACAAATCCAGTCACACTGCTGATGAACAGACCCAACAAGTCTACAGTTTCTGCCCTAGCCATCTGACAAAACAGCTCACACCACATTAGGTAGTGCAAAACAGAAGGCTAGCTGGGCTTTGGGGCTACGATTTCCAGAGCTTCTGCCTCATCCCCTTGAAATCCTGCATCTATTATCATTAGGCTGAACAAAGCATCACAGTCCAAAATGAAATCAAACACAGAAAGTGTGAAGAATTAGGCCACTCCTACTGAAGAATGTAATGTGATGCATTTTTAAATATAGTTTATATCTACAGACACACTGCAAAACTATTAAACTCACAGTGAGATTCCTGTATTCAGATGCTTTGAAATGGTCTTCTACAGCTCACTAGATTATTCTACATCCTACACTTGGCTTATTACCAATCTTTGTTTTAACAGCAACATGCACTGCTTCACCATGTCACATGTCCAGCATGCAACATTCAAGGTTTAATATCTCAGGCATGACGGGTCAATTGCCCTTTGGGGGTTTTATGGAGTACCAATATGAATTTACATCTCATCTTGTTGCAACTCTGTTTAAGGTTACTGATAATACCCAAGTGCTCCATCTATCATGGTGTTATTTCAAGATCAAGTAAGTTTAAGTCAATGTGCATCCAAGTGGGATTGCTGGGATTTCTTATTACAGTTTGAATTATGCCAGTGCCATCTGTGCCTATTCCAAGTTGAGCTGACAAAGATCAGGATTGTTCCTCCTCAATACATAAATCCCCTCCAAAAAACCAAAATCAGCCTCTGTAATGGAAGAGAGCTGCAGTTCAAGACTAAAATGTACAAGAATAAAGTACAAGAATAAAATCCAAGTGATAAACTACACAGCATCCAGCTCTTTTGTACCTAAGGTTAGAAAGTGCTTCCTTACCTTCTGCTCCACAGAGGAAAAAAAAACCCCAAAACATACAAATACTAAAAGAAACAAAAGTGACATTATATAAAATTTTATACAATGATATCTCGACATCTGGAGCATAAAAAAGTGAGTGTGAAGTTCAAATTTAAAAGAAAGTCTTTGATACATAGTGCCACTTAAATACACACTTAAATTCCACTAACTTAAATAGTCCTTAAGTACATACTTTATTGCTGTCACAAACTGGGACAAGTTGATATAATCCATCTACAGAGCAAGCAGACAACTGAAATTAATATAAAAGTCTGAACTGTTTACTTTTCATGGAAGGCAAAACTTCCAGGAGATGCACAGGCAAAAGAAAATTCCCTTAAAATGAAGAATTGTGCAGCATGTCATTTAACTGACATTTACAGCCCTTCTTGATACCCAAGTAGCATACAGGACGAGCTTCACCCAGAATCTCCTCCTCTACAACTATTTACTATAGCCATAAATATAACATTTTTTAAAATGCAGTACTTTACGCAATACCTCTGTTTCTCAAAAGAACAATAAAAACCCCAGACTGGACTTATGAAACCTTACCTCTGATGGTACAAGTGTATCACAGGAAAATAAAAGAAATGCTTCTGCTTCCTGCATTTCCCCTGGTTCCACCAGCAATTTACAGCCACAAACAGCACCTACAAAGCAGGTAAAAATTCAGAGCTAACAAAGTACATTACTGTGTCCTTCTTCATATAACATGTATTTTTTCCAACCCATTCCACCATGCTATTTTCAGTGTTTTTTCAACTCACTATTCCATGTCTGTTCCCCTTCACTCTCAGACAGAAGATTTTGTTTGTCATTTTGGAACAGAAATCCTTCTGGTCACTTTTCTGTCTAGTTTTTAAGATTCTTAATCAAAATTCTTCAGATTTACTAACCCATAATCCATATTCATTACATTTTCTGCAGAGTGGAGCATGACAAGCAGAAGTTTCTGACAGCAGTGCCTGTGAAGTGTTCACAGGTAACTAACCTCTAGAAAGCAGTGCTATGGCTGCAATCTTAGACAATTACTAGGGTCTCCAAGGATCCTGGAACTGGAAGTAAACTTGCAATTGCCATCTGAAGGCAGGTGAATAAATCTGGGAACACTTTACAAGAACAAACTTCTAGAGTTTCCCATTCAGGAGTAGAAATAACAGACAAACAAGAAGGAAACACAGGCTGCTTCCATTTATTCTAACACTCTATATGTTAAATTAAAACAAAGCCAATTGGCTGAGTCACCCTAAAATGTAAGTATTTAAGTCCTACTGGTTCTCATGGGATGCCAGAAATTAGCATCATCTTGGAGATGAAAAAGGTCATGTTTAAGATTCGTAGCTTCCCTGGAGTTACCTGGTCTGACAGTCTGCTGGCCACATGTTCTATTTCTTCTCTTGCTGCAATGGACTGGCCACACCATGGCGCATAGAAGAAATACAGCGCAATTTCTGAATCCTGACGAAGGTGATCTGCATAGTCTAACTGTCCCCGAAAAAGATCAATGACTTGAGATCTTGTGGAGAAAAAATTCACTGGAAGTTTTGCTGGCATCGTTACATCTTTTGCTCGGCTGCAGGCAAGAAATTGAGTGGTTACTGAGACTGTACAGCAGGAGTTAAAAAAGTGTGCCCAAAGCCCTAATTTTTAATCTTAGCAAAGGTCATGCAATGACAAAATTTAGAAATTGATGTGATTATCTGACAATTATCTGCGTTAGTTTCATTACATACCATAAGAATCTAAAGATCACCCTTGACAAGCTTTAGAAAGTCACACTGGAATTCCATGCACTCTGTTTATGGGTAAGTTAGCTCACGCTCTTACTGCTGGTTGCTATAGAGCATAAAATTACCAGGAAGAGTGCTTTCTTTGGATTTCTTCCCTGGCCTCATCCACTTTTAACACTTGTACTTTGGGTAACAGCACCCTGATAAAAGAAGATACGCTGGTCATAAAGTTTTGTGATGTGATGTTTACATAAACAGAAACTATTACCCTCTCTTACACTTTGTGTTAAAGTATTTTATATTTATTTTTTATTGCATTAGGTAAAAACATGTAAATGTGTCGTGGTTTATTTTACTTATGAGAGCAGGGACGGCAAGCTGTTCAGGGCACATTTTCTCTTTAATGTAAGGATAGTATCAACAAATAGGAGTCTTGATTTAAAGAGATTGTGACAGGTTAATTTTCTTAAGAGAAATTTGTTTAACCAGCGATACCAAGTACATAAACCAAATACTCAGGAAACCATTTTCTAGCAAATCAGCAATCAAACAATCCAGAACCCCACATTTCCAAGGTGTTTGGAAGTTGTTATGGTACAAATTGCCTTAAGTACAAGTTAATGATCATATCTGCTTTTTATTCTCCGAATTCCAAAATTTTCCACTAGCTTTATTTACACCAAAGCAAGTCAGGTGATAGAACTGGACTGCACCACTGTAATGCTCTAGTTTGCAATGGTTGCTTATCTGACAGGGGATTTTATGAAACACTGTGCATTCCTTTACCTTGTAAAACAAAAAACTAATGCAAAAAATCCTTTGACCTGATATTTGATCCTTCTTAGGTTACAATTTTAAAATAATGATAAAAATTATTGAGCCCCAAACACTATCAAACGCATATGTTAAGCAACCTCCTAACAACACTGACATTTTCAAACTTCAAAATCATTTTTAAACCTTTGTTTTTACAATACAGACTTACAAAACTCTCATTTCCATGTAATAAAGCATACACTTATAGCTCAACATTTAAGAATTACTCCCAAGACATTTTCTAAAAGTTACAGAAATTCTCAACTCATCCATAAAAGACTATTTGCTTCAAAGTCCAGAATTCTGAAAATATTAACTGGTTCCTCATGTTTGCAATTCAATAAATCCACTATTCACAAAATTATATTTTCACACAGATGGCCAAAAATCTCATTTTCTTCCATCAATTTGTAGCTTTGCTCCTTCCCTTCTCCCCCCTCTGTCAGCAACTCAGCACCTCCTTCCCCAACCCTTAGGTTCTCTTGTCACCTCACAACCAACTGCTCTGGTTCCCTCCTATTCCTGCACCCTGTGCTTGTCCAAACTGCCCACTTTTTCCTGTGGTTTCTAATTGCCAGCTGGACAGGCCCCAACACTGGTGCGCAACAGCTCTAACTCACAGGTCAGCACACACACCCATCAGCTGCAGAAAGTGAAACATGGCAGCGCAGTGTTGGTCTCACACTAATGCATACTTCTGCGGAGACATTAACTAAAATGTCTCTTCCTTAATGAAAAGGGACAACCTAAATGCGTTTAAAACCTCTGCTTCCTGCACTGAATTAAAGTGAAAGCTGTAAATTGGTCATTACAGTGTAAGTCTTGAAAATTAGATATGAAATTGGCTCTAAATTTCAAGAAGGTATAACCAGATTGTGAGGATGGAATGGCACGGACCCAGAGGTAGAGTGCAAGCTGGATCATTTATTGCAAAGGTTACACGATATTTATATGCTTCCAAGCAATTAGCTAAGCACATCTGTGTTTGCCTTGTGGTTACATCAGGTGAAAGGTCTATCTGATTTTCTTATCAACATCCTCTTTCCAGTTCCAATATCCTTGTTCCTTGCCAGTTCCAACATCTTCCAAGTACCAGTCAGGGACAGGTCACTCTTAATTGCCTGCTTGAGTTCCTCCTTCCCATGGTCTCTGACAGTTTCAATACATTCCAACCCCCACACCAGATCAACAGAAGGCCCATAACATGAATGGGTCAGGAACTACATGGCTACCTTCAAATATGAAAAAGAGCTCCAGTAGTTATTAAAAACCAAAACACAATAAATCAATAGCTACCTTAATAGCTTCTTAAGCCGATTTCCGCAGTAGTGAATACCACATATAACTCTGTAATACCAAATACTTTACACAATGCCTAGGTTTGCAAAGAGAGTAGTACCCTGAACCCCTAAAAATTGAAAAAGTATAAACTGAGTATTACATCATAAATGATTATACAAAGATAATAATTCTGTACTGTTTATTAAAACATTGATCGTGTTGTTAATGTGCTGCACAGAGCCTATAAAAGGCTCATTTCCACTGAACAACCGGGTAATAAAGGAAAACATATGCAAGTTCAGGTAGGATCAGTCCCTTTGAATGCAAGGCCCTTAGAGTGCCATTGCCTCGAGAGACGTTTGTGTAATGCCACAAACAATTCAGGTTCTAAACCACAGGCTTTTCATAACAGTACACATTAGGCTTCATTTGGCTATTTCTTGAGCCACTATAAACCTTCAACACCTCAAACTCCACTAACAGATTGCCTTGTAGTAAAGCAATTTTCCCTTTCCATACTTTTTACCCATCAGGCTCAAAAGTTACACATTGTAAGCAAAGTGGTAGTAACTGGACTCTGGCACCAAGACTTGCTTGCAAATTGCACTGATGTGTGGTAAGAAATCATGTACTGTAGTCACAGTGTACATATGCAATTAACCATCCTCCAAATTTCTATACTTGAATTTTCTATGTTTCTGACAGCAACAGAAGAGGGGTTATTTTTCTGATATATTTCTCTATTTAACTAAATTGGCTGAAAAGGCAAACCCCTTTAATCAAACATCCTGTAAAGAGTACAGGGTGTCAAGAAGCACACACCACGCACATTCCATTTGTGAGGTTTCAAACACAGCAGTAAAACGAAAGGAGCATGAAGGTTTTAAGTAAAGGACAGCAGGAAGAAAACAGAAGCTTCAATGTAAGCATGGGAAAGAAAAATAAAAACTTTAGTAAAAATAAAATGGGAGGTGATCAACTCTACACCATACATTCAGTAATATAGCAAGAGATTTATACTTTCATCTACATGGTCACTGTGAGAGACAGACTGCTGTAGAGAAGGCTGCATGGAGATCTCAACAGCAACCTCCCAATATGTGAAGGGGGTCTACAAGGATGCCAGAGAAGGACTCCTCGTCAGGGACTGTAGCAATAGGCCAAAACAGGATGGGTGTAAACTGAAACAAGGAAAATTCTGATTAGCTATAAGGAAGAAGTTCTTCCCTGTGAAGGTGCTGAGGCACTGGCACATGTCAGCCAAGAAGCTGTGGCCTGGCAGTGTTCAAGGCCAGGCTGGATGGGGTTTGGGTGACACAGTCTAGTGTGATGCATAACTGCCCATGGCAGGGGGTCTGAACTAGATGATTTTAAGGTCCTTTCCAGCCCTAACTATCCCACGATTCTATGAACAGAGAGGCACTGCTGCCCACAGAGCAACTTCACCAGACTTAAAATTCAAGTAACAGATCCTCTGTGGACAGGTGAGACAAGGCAGCGTTAGTACTTTTCAGAAGCATTACCTGTGAATCAAGTGTTTCTCAAAACGAAAATGCCCCAGATTCTGCAGAACAGAGAAGTGATCGGATCCTTGTAGCCATCTCCCACCCCTCAAATTAAACCCCAAATGCAGTAAACGTTCTCACATTAACACAGCGCGACTTGAAACACGTAATGGTGACCTTGACCTAAAACCCATCTGGAACATTCAGATCCCAGTTCAGGCTCCAGGAACGTGCTGCCCCTTGCAGTACACGCACGTGCCCGCCATCCATGGCTAACCCTGCCTGTGCTCCAGCTACATACCCTGCCAGGCTCTGCTCGGGGCTGGTTGTTGTCAGCAAACAGCAACCACAAGGCTTCCGCAATGAACAAAGCGGCAGCTCTCAAGAGTGGCACCAAGATATTAAACGGGGAAAAAAACCCAAACAAACAACAACAAATCACCTTTCTGTCTGAAGCAGGTGCCAGTAACGGGGTGTTGGCACTGACAAGCAACACTTCCCCTCACTTGGTACCCCCACACCGACCCAGCCGTCTGAGTGCTGACGGGTTTCAACCCTTTGCTTTCTCAGTCCTTCTGAGGTACAGACGAGGTACGAGTAATTCGCCGGAGAGGAGGACAAACACCTTCCTCCACAACGCACCCCTCCCTCGGGTGCCTGTGCGCCCGCGTACCTACCGCCACACCCCGACACCCCGCTGAGGCAGACGTGTCCCGACAACGCCGCCGCTTCCCCCCCACACCGCGCACGAACGCGGGGAGCGGGGCCTGTTCCGGCCCTACACGGGTCTCCGGGCCCCGCGCCCCCCACGACAGGCTCACGGCCGCCGTTGCTATGGGGACCGCCTGTCAGTCACCCACCGCGGAGCGGCCGTGCGCGCCCGACACAGCCCGACCACAGAGCGCTGGGGCGACCGCCGCTAGACCCGGATCGAGGTTCCGGGGCCGGACCCCCGCGGGCAGCTCTGCCCCAAGCCTCGGCACACGCACACCCCTTGCCCCCACCCCGCCACCGTTACCTGCAGGTGACTTTGAGGGCGACAAGGAAAGCGCAGCCCAGCAGGATGGCGGCGCCGCAAAGCAGCTCGGGTCGCCGCGCCATCTGGGCAGCACGAGGCCGCAGCCGCGGGGCAGCCGCGGGGCCAGAGTCGCCACATAACGACATCGGAGCGGCCGAGGCGGGGAGGGGTGCGGGCCGCCGGCCGCTCCCGCTCGCACACGTCTCCCTACCGCCCGCCTGTCAGCCGCGCCGGGGAGGGGCCCTCCGCCGGCGAACCCGCCGCCGCCACGTCGCACCGCCCCGAGCAGGCGCACGGGCGGCCGGGCAAGGCCGGGGCAGCGGGGGGGGGCAGGCGCGCCGACCGCGGCGGCTGACGGGACCCCTCGGGGCAGCGGAGGCAGAGCGGGGCTCACTGGCGGTGCTGGGAGCACCGTGAGGTCGGTGGTCCTCACTTGCGCCCCGGCCTCGGGAAAACCGTGCTAAGAATGCCTTCGACGGCCCCCTCCTGTGTGTGCAGGGCAGTTACAATCCCCGTCCCCGGGATCAGTGAGGGGGAAGTAATTCCCCAGTAACTCCTCCGTTCCTGCGAGGCGCGAGCCCCCAGTCCCGGCAGCTGTCCCCGACAGCCCCACACCAGAGTCATTAAAGATCTCACACCGTTCGTACGGAACAAGGATTTCATGTTTAGTTTTGTCTAGAATTATTTCGAGTAATTTACAGAGCACTTACATTAAACAATGAAAGCATAAAATTGAGAAAACAATTCAGAAAGGCACACGATACAATCAGGTTTTGTCACAGCAATAACTGTCCATAATACTCTATTTCAAGCTCAGTTCATTACAAACAATGTAAAAAACTAGCACTGCAGCAGGTGGTATTTCAAGCACCAAGCTACGCCTGTATGCACACTGTACATCATATTCAAATGGCCTTCAGCCTTGCTGGGAAGGAACAGTTCTCCCTCACTCTGGCTGAAGTGTAAGGTGGTGTTCTGTAACTGTTGTGCTTTTACTTTGTGAAGTGAAAGGCACAGGGCCTCCAGGCTCATCTTCTGCATGGGTATTATCACTGAACTTTGGTTCAACACTTTTTACATACACACTATGTGGCCAATGACTACATTCAAACTACTGAAGTCATTCTTAAAGCTCTTCTAATGACATAAGGTCAAGCCAATAACAGAAAAAATACTATTAAGAGAGAGAAGTATGGGGAAAATAAGAAAACTAGCTTCAGCTACTTTGAATGCCTAAATAAAGCTCGTTTTGGGGGAAAAAGAAAATTAAAAAGGACATTAAGTGACCGCACAAAGCAAGCTGAAAGCACAATCTGCAGCGAAGTCAAAACACGACAGAAGCTCTGGCTACTCTAAAGCCAAAGGGCTTATCAGGCTAAAAGCACCTAAGCCCATGGATGGTTTCCCTTTGCTGTGGGCTGCAGGAAATGCCATCTGAAGTCCCATCCACCTTGCAGCTGAGGTGGGGGTGCTTCATGCCCAAGTCAAAAGACTAAAAACATGTCCCAGCTCCAAAATGGTGTCTCTACTTCACAAGTGAGCTGGCTATTCTTGCTACTTAGTGATGCAATGAGCTAATGACAATACAGAAGACTGCAAATGAGAAGCTAGAGATACAAATACCAACTTAGTATAAATTTTTAGCTACAGGCGCTCAAGCTTTTGCTAAAAATGAAATAATGGTTTGTTTTTACAAAATCTCAGTCCTGAGAGGCTACATGCACAAAACAGCTTTGTGTAAAGTTCTCTTTATTACAGGCAACATTAGTCCATACAATAGTACACAATACTGACATACAAGTGTAATCTTTCAAAATCATCAATTTAAACAGCAAAGACCAAGAAACAGAATTTTAACTACTTCATTTTTTTTTCTTTCCAAGATCCTTTTTCAGTAAATTATATTGAAACATACAAATAGAGAAAAAATACCCATTCAACATATACTGTAGTTAAATGGTTATTTTGTGTAAAATCTTTAATAAGAAAAATCCTTTTTAGCAACCTACATATAGATAAGTAGCAAACTTTGTTTTAAACAAATCCTCTCCATTAAAAGATCTGAAGAATTTTCATCCATCTTCTTAGCCCGTAACACTCTGTTTTGCAATACCTTAATACCTTGAAGTTTTTCAACTGAAGGACTGATACTAGGGGGCTTCCTAGATTATAACTTCTCTTCCCCCCTTCTATTTCCTAACTTTCTGTCCAACAGAAAGTGAGTAAGCGCGTAATACTTCAGATTTTTATTTAATCACCACTCTGTTTCATGAGAGCACAGACAGGTCTGCTCAATCCCCCTAAATCTACTATATTTTGCTGTTCAGGAGGAACAAGATATGCCAATAAAAGCAGAAAACCTGCAGCTTATCTGTCACATGCTTTTTATTATTGTCAAATTTTCTGGTTTATGCTTCCAGCTGATAACATGTATGTGTCACCTCAGTATTAGTTTAAATCTTTAAACAAAAAACTATATTTTCCAAAGTCATTATCACTGGGAGCAATCAAGTGATCTTTCCTTGCTTTGCTGAGCTTCATTCTTAAAACTTGTCGTCGTTCTTCCCACTCATGGAGTTCAGCATTTCCATGGGCAAATTTACAGTTGTTTCCTTCAGTACAAGTACCAGCCATATATCTGTTAAGACAGATTTCAAACAGTGTTTTCACAGAATCATCACAATGGCTATTGCAACTAGGTATTTTCTTCTGTTCATGCTTCTCAAATATACTACAACATTAAGGATAAAAATAAAATACTAGAAGAGAATTTACTTTTTAAGTAAGACAATACTAACTTGTATTACATTTTTCTCTCCCAGCTGTCAAGTATTTATAGAGGACAAGAGATGGCTCTCTCCTTTCTGTTCTTCATGTTCCTACTTTACTAAGTCATTTAATGTGTGGTGCCTGGTAATTTAACCTGATGAAATTAAAAGTAAATGAATACATTATCGTTTAACTCATTAAACTAAAGCACTACTATTGTTGAAAAAAATCCAACTAATTCATTACCCTTTGTTAACTAAATTTGGATTTTAAGTACTCAGTATGACTTAAGATTTTATCCTAGTATTTTTGTTCTAAGCATGCCAGTTTGTATTTGCTTTATGTTAAGTGTACATGAGGTCTGTTAGTGCTCAAAACATCAATACTTTAGGATGTTACTTAAAAATTTAGTAAAGGGGGCATGTAGGCTTCCACACAAAGGCTGCAAACAAAAAATAACTTGCTTTATATCCTGTGTAATTTCCCAAGATTTCTAAAGCATTCAAAATCTTTGAAACAGAGTAAGAAAGGTATCCGTATCAGCAAATTGAATCTTTAATGCCAGAATGCAGATTCTAAAGTTCTCAGCCTTCAAAAAGACACCAGCAGTGGAAAGAACTTTCAACATATTTGTGACTGCAGTCAGGTAAACAGGCTGCACTGAAGAATTAAAGGGACCAGCAAAACATACAACCACTACTGGGGAAAACCAGTAGGTCTTGGAAGTTCTCTTCCACATATTCATAAATGACTTTAGTAACAAATAAACAAATCTGCTTTGACGCTAACATTTTTACTTGCCTTACAGCTCCAATATCATGTCCAGCTAGGTACTGTTCTTGTGTTCGACAGGGAATTAACATGCAGATGCTTAAGTAAACTTGTAATAATACCAACAATATTTCACACAGCTGCAATAACCTAGCTTAACATCACAAAAACATTAATTTGCTTCCACAATTGGGCACATTCTCACTCACACAGTTCTAAAAGCATGTGTTAAAATGCTGTAAATTACTTAATTTCTTGTTCAAAGATTTATGCAAAGCAAGAAAGACTAGAAGCATCTGTCAAAATGAATAACCACCTTAATTATTGACACTACAAACTGTCATTTTTCAGCATTTTTGACATCTTAAAAGCCACATACCTATCACAAATGCTAAAATTTCCAGTTGGAAAGCGATACTGCCAGCAGTTTTGATCGTCTTCGGTGTGGAAAACCTTCTCTTTATGCTTTTCAGAAGAAATGTGACCCTGCCATTGCTTCTCACTATTACAGTTCTTCCCACACATCCAACAGTGAAAATCCACCTGATTTACAGTGAATTTGAAAACAAAACATTGAGAATTCAATACTGTAAGCACAGAACTGCCCCTAACACATTTTGGATGTTTGCTTTATGTTGGCCTGTAAATTGTTGTTAACCTAACAGATGTAATTCTTTAAACAATCACCTTAAGTTTATGATCGCTACTGGCTTTAGAGGATTCAGAAGTGCTTTACAGTGTCAGTTAAAAGTTTGCAATTAGCATAGCTACCTATTAGCTAAGGAAACACTAAGAAAATAAGGATAACAATGCATGTTACTGATTGGGGGGGATGTGACACTGCAACAAAAACCCCACATGTTTGAATTTAGAATTATACCTATGATTACTTACTGTAACTTCAGCATAGTCAGTCGGCATGTGAATTTGCTTCCCATTCTCTTTGTTTGCCTGAGCAGCTGTATCATCTCCCTTTTCTGGTTTTTGACTTTTTAGCCATATGTCATACAACTGCTCCAAGTCTTGAACTAATGAGAGCAGAAGCTAAAATAAGTAATTAGCAATTGAGGCAAGAGTTTGAGAATACTAGATAAATGAGTGAGTTTGCAAGCATAATTCAGTCCCCACCTGTTGTAAGAATCAAAAAGGAAGGACATAATGTAGACAGTTACACAGTGTAGAGGTAAGACCTTAGAGAAGTATCAGTCTCTGGCTACTTACCAAGACCCATTGTGCCTATCTAGGGGAAAGTAAGATGTTGCACACTTTTGAACAGGCACCCGAAGTACAGGTAACAACTGTGCCACTGGGTAATAACTGTTGCTGTGTAGTGATACCTGAATTTTAAAATACTAATATAAAGTGTACTACAGCTTTTGGCAAATTTAGTCTGCTTTCTTGTAGACCACGGTAATATAATTTATGTCATATATTACTTCCAACTTTTTGCTTTATGTCCCCAGTAATTTGATTTAATTCAATAATGTGAATAGTAAATTACAGTGAGTGCACTGGGGTGGAGGCGGAATTCTTCTGCTAATAGCTTGCCCCCACGTTATCAGCAGAATCCTAGTGTGTGCACATGGCAATACAGAGTATAAACACCAAACAATATTGCAGCATGGATCAATATACTGTTTCTAAGACATCTAAAAAAACAATTATACAAACTGTTGTTAAAAACCACAAAAGCAACAAATATATAATGTAGCTT